GCAGACTGTTTCCAGTGCCTTAAAAACACCAAACGCATGAAAGGGCACATTAATGCGCCACTGTGGAGCCAATAAACATCTCACCAGAGTTTTACTGGAGCATTTTGGTCACACTCTTGGCTCAATGAAAGTTGCGTCAATGTTAGCTGTGAGCTTGTTGTTATGGTTCCCCTGAGCATCTGCTAACAATCTTAAAACCCTTGGCTTGTTAAGAAAGCTTTGTTTTGATGTGCTTTCAGTTAAAGTGACAAGTGATTTGGTCACTTTCTAAAGTACATTTTAGCAAAAACAAAAGTGAATCAGCACAAAAAAAAGTTTCTTGTTTTTGTTTAATAATCAAAGAGTTGCATTCGGTCCCAAATGTACTCACATCAGCCCTCTGTTTCATTATTCATCCTTAACTGGAGACTCGATCTGAATGGGCGATTTGAATCAGTGAATCATTAACTGGAGACTCACTCTAAATAAATAATTTGAATCAGTGAATTGTTAACATGAAACTTGCCCTGACTAGATTGTTTGAATTGGCGAATCATTAACTAGATACTTATGCTGAATGGATCATTTGAATCTTAGAATTTTCAATTTGACAATTTTTCTGACTAGAGCATTTGAATCAGTGAATCCTTAACTGTAGACTCACTCTAAATAAATACTTTGAATCAGAGAATTGTTAACATGAGGCTTACCCTGACTAGATTGTTATAATTGGTAAGTCTAGATACTTATGCTGAATGGCTCATTTGAATCAGAGGATTGTTAACACAAGACTTATGCTGAATAAATTATTTGAATTAGATGATTGTTAAGCTGACTCTTGTTCTGACTAGATCATTTGAATCAGTGAATCCTTAACTGGAGACTCACACTGAATAAAAAAAATTGAATTAGAGAATTGTTAACATGAGACTTACCCTGGCAAGATTGTTGAAATCGGTAAATCTACACTCTTAGATATAAAGGTACTCGAGCTGCCACTGGGTGGTACCATTTCAAAACATACACATTTGTACTTAAAGGGTCCATATTGGTTCCTCAAAGGTACATATTAGAACCTAAATGTACAAACGTGTTTCTCTTAATTTTTTTAGGTACTAGTATATGCTTTTGAAGTACCAATATGGACTCTTTAAGTACAAATGTGTACCTTTGGTACCACCACAGTGACAGTTTGCATACCTTTATTTCTGAGAGTGTGGATACTGTACTTATGCTGAATGGATCATTTGAATCTGAGAATTGTTAAACTGATACTTGTTCTGACCTGATGAATTGAATCAGTGAGTCCTTAACTGGAGACTCACTCTAAATAAATACTTTAAATCAGAGAATTGTTAACATGAGGCTTACCCTGATTAGATTGTTACAATTGGTACATCTAGATACTTATGCTGAATGAATCATTTGAATCGGAGAATTGTCAATTTGACACTTGTTCTGACTTGATCATTTGAATCAGTGAATCCTAACTGGAGACTCACTCTGAATAAATGCTTTGAATCAAAGAATTGTTAACATAAGGCTTACCCTGTCTAGATTGGTAGAATTGGTGAATCTAGATATGCTGAATGGGTAATTTGATTTGGTGAATTGTTAACTAGAGACTCAATTTAAATGGATCATATGAATTAAAGAATTGTTAAGGTGGGACTTGTTCTGATTAAATCATTTGGATCAGTGAATCTTTAACTTGAGACGCAGTGAATCAGTGAATTGTAACATGAGACTTGTCCTGACTAGATGTTTGAAATCAGTAGTGAACTAGATAGTTACGCTGAATGGATCATTTGAATCTGAGAACTGTTAATTTGACACTTGTTCTGACCAGATCATTTGAATCACTGAATTGTTATCTGGAGACTCACTTTAAATGGATCATTTAAATCAGAGAATTGTTAAGCTGACACTTGTTCTGATAAGAATCAGTGAGTTGTTGACATGAGAACAGATCTGATCAATTTAAATCCGTAAATGAAACTTTCAGTGCAATTTGCAAAGCAATTTAACAGGTTAAATGAAAAGATTCAGCTTGTCAATGAATTGGAAACAACTGTCTCATTTTAGAATGGTAGGGATTTCCAGCTTGATTTCATGAGAAAACTAAACTATTTTACGTTTTGTCAGTTTAGTGGCTAATTCGTACATATTTAAATCAGTTTAGTCATATTAAAAATATAAATTTAAAAAAGGAGGTGTGACACTCAACCATCATTGGGCAATAAGCATATCACACTAAATTGTACGAATAAGATCATACAAATTCATACGAATTAGCCACTAAATCAAAAATTTATGAACTGAGATAGCGTTGGGATTTCTCCAGTTAAAAACATTAAGGAGCAACATGTTTTTTAAATCAATTAAGTGGGGTAAAAAGTGTGAAATTTTGGAGTGGAAGTAAACACAATAAAGTCAGCCACCAGCATAACTGTATACCTTTTCATCACTATTTTTTCACTGTGCATCTTTAATCCTAATAGTAGTTTTGTAACACCAACAAATGGGTTTGCACAAGCTATTAACGAATTTGTGCCTTTACTGGTTTTAAAAACTCACCGTATGCCGCAGATATGGTTTTTCAATGTAATAGTATGTTTCAAGCTTTATTCCCAAGGTACGTGAGCCACATTTTCCCAGTATGAATTAGCCAACTGTTAATAAGATGCAGCTAATCAAATATTCCTACTGCTAATTAGTGGATTAATCCTCTTATCAACTGTGGCCATACAAGTGAAGGTCATTAAATTTCCTGGCTGGGGAAATGGTTGCGTAACCACAGGCTCCCTGTGGAAAACACTTGAATCTTGTCATCTGTTGACCGTGAGATTAGCTGCACACTAAATCTGGAGCCTAGACACAAAACTGAATTCCGCTTCTAATAAATCTTTTTGAAGTGATAAATAGTGCATATGACAAATTTAAGCCCACCGACAACAGTTGCCAAAGTTCATTGTTGATATTTTCCTTTTATGAGTAATTGTCTACATGTTATACATTTTTCATTTCTCAAAGACATAAAAGGAAACAACCAAATAAAAGATTTTTAAAAAAAAGGAATTGATTGAATTCCTGTCACGTGAGACTTTCACCTTCCTACCCCTAAGATCCAGGATGCAAAATGGAGGCAAACCCTCACAAATAAAAACAATTTTCATATTACTCAAATAATTTTTTGTTCACAAATATATTTCAGCATAATCATAAAGGTCTTTAGACTCATCCAAATGAAACAAATCCTTCAATAAATCTATAGTTTTTTCTATACTTTGTCAAAAGTTCATGTGGGCAAAAACCTTGCAAGTACATAAATCATGAGAAAATAGGGAATAATGTGTTATTAAGGTAATAAATAAAGGTTTTTGGTCCGCAGCAAAATACTTAAAGTAAGGTAAAAAAAAAGGAAGTTAAATTGAACTTCTCGCACTAGTCCCACTCCCACAAAAGGGGTTAAAGTAACATTGGAGCAGAGTTAAAGTGCTGATTGAACAGAGAATAATGAACTCTTACTATTAAAAAGCAGAATCACTGAAGAAAACACAAAACTAAAACTGAATTCAGTCACAGCCTTAGGCCCTGCTTTACACACAAACATAGGTATCGTCTAAATCACAGCTTTTTCTACACGGTTTGACTGTTCATCCACACAAAAATACAAACACTTTAACCCACATTTATGAATCTTTTGTCAGGGTAAAGATTTCAAAAGCGGATAATGGACATGGCCTTAGAGGAACTCAAATGAGCGTCAGCGGCTTTACTTATCACTTGTTTGACTATTTCTGTCTTAGAGAGATTTACTAAAAATCTTCATTTTGTTAGACATCACCATTGTGGAGAGCACAATATATTTTTAAATAAATAAATAAATATTTAATTTATTTGACTGATGTAATTATGCAGTGGGGATTCATATTGAATGGTTTTCGTGTTTTAAACATAATACATGTGTTTTAGAATATGGTTTAATTCTGTTGAAAGCAGTTGTTTTAAATTAGAATGCCAAATCTTCTCCCCATATGCAAATTTTACATTGAATGGTTCTTACAACATATTTGCCCACCAGTAACTATAGTTGCTGCATATTCAAATATGATTTTCAAGAAAAAGAACCTGGAGAAAATAAATGCAAAACATGTTAATATAGGATACTATTAACCAGGCTACATGCATAAAACCATTCAGAAAGAATTGGGCACAAATGGGTTAAATGACCTCACATATTTGAACTTTTTATATAGTTTTTGATATAAAAGACCACTAAATAATGATGATTTTGAGAAACACATTTCTTAAAATGCTATTTATTTTAAATTAAAATTGCATTCAATGGCATGCATTAACTAAATGCCTAATAACCATTTCCCAAATACCTTTACCAGAAATCAACTTTGTATCAAGTTGACCTGTCTATTTTTCCACCCACTACTAAAGTAGTGTCAAATACTTTTTAAAAGCACAAGTTTTTTTTAAAAACAGGATGTTTTATTTTAAATGTCTACATATGAGACTTATATATTAGACTTATATATTTTTGAACCAAAATTTTCTTTCTTTCTTTCTTTCTTTCTTTCTTTCTTTCTTTCTTTCTTTCTTTCTTTCTTTCTTTCTTTCTTTCTTTCTTTCTTTCTTTCTTTCTTTCTTTCTTTCTTTCTTTCTTTCTTTCAACCCCCTAGCACCCCCTTGTGGCTTCCTTTGGATTCCCTGACCACAGTTTAACAACCCCAGCCTGGAAAAACTCACACACTGTGGGCCGCATACTCAGAAAGACATTATTTTCAGATCACAAGATCAGTCAAATACCTGCAGAATGCATTACAGTTTGTTTTAGCACATTTTTTTCTGTTAAAACAAACTGTATATCTGTATATAAATACACCTTTTTTTCATTCCTGTTTAATACTTTGTGATATAAATATACAAAATATTATTTATAAGAATCTGTGTTTAGCTGGACTGCAGGATGTTGCAGGACTGAGACTGTGTTGTGTTTTGCTTTACAGCATTGGTGATAACTGATGGGCCACAGGATAAGTCTGGTCTTGCAGATGAGGTGGGCAGTGAAGATGATCTGTACAATGAATTCCGCAGCTCCTCCAACCGATTCGGACACCCAGGAGGAGGAGGAGAACAGCTGGCCATAAATGAGGTACAATACTCTATTTGTGTTTGTTTGTCTTTGCAGATCATGCTTATGGCTCCTTCTGTTCATGACACAAAATTTTATTTACCCAAATATCTCTTAAAAGCTTAATATTTACTTAAGTTCAGATCAGACTTTTTTTCTTCAGTGGAGCATTTAAGAAGATATATATATATATATATATATATATATATATATATTCAATACTGTGGTCCTTTTTTATTAATAGAATACAAGTATTTACAGTTACTTCAAAATAAGTACAGAAAAAAAATGTAATCACACTCATGAGGCTTTGGATTAAAGGTGCATTTTTTTTGCACTGACTTATCATTTCTCGTTGTAAGACGTTAATGTTTCATCAGGAGCAATGAGTTTTAATTTTGTATATGCTTTTAGACTCTGAAGGTGTTGTTGATTTGGTTTTCAAGGCCCTTAGAGTTCAGTCAATGTAATTTAATAGCCTACTACTCATCTGCCTCTCTCCTGAGGCCTGAGACCAGCAGAATGACCTGCTGTCGCTCTCCTTTTCCCATCATCTTCAGCATGACTGGAGATGAGTCTGTGTTGTAGAAAGATGCTGTTGTTTACAACGGATTTTCGAGAATATGCAGATTGTCAAAGTTTGATTTATGACTGTTTGGTATCATTGTCGAAAACCGCTCAGTTACTCCATTCAGCATTTTAGGAGGAGCGGCAGAAAAATCTAATCAACGGCCAGGCCTCAGGGAGCTTGGTGTGCACTGAGCTGCACGGAAGCCCTGTGCTGATGCTGTTATTGTTTTTCAGCCTTCTGTCCTGGAAAAGTATACAGGAAATATTAAACAGGCAAATTTAAAATGTCATTGTTTTTCTTGGGAGAAAGGGCTAAGACTGCTTTTAAAGAAACATTCAAATACCCCCTGCTATTAAACTTCAATGTGTTTAGCCTTTCTGTTGCATGAACAGAAGTGTATAGTGCTACAGTAATTGTCCCAGTGTCATTGGTTCCCACAAAAAGAAACAACTTATAAAATTTAGATTTAGGTTAGAGCTCCAACTTGTACCATGTTTGTGCTTCGAGTTTTTGTGTCCTGACTGATTCTCTCTAACTATATTGTTATTCATTTCTCTGTATATTATTCTTTCAAAAAATGGCAAAACATTTAAATACAAAAGCATTGGATAAAACTGCCTGCACCTTTTGTCATAAGGATATTAGTGATACAGTACCTTAAATCATAAACATTTCACCTGGGAGATGCATAATAGATGTGGCCTGAGCCATATTTAGGGTCCAGGATAGAGTACAATGCCTTTGATTTGTGGTTTGAGACAAGCAAGCTTTAAGATCAGTGTAGCTTTTTCCAGCCTTTAATTCAACACCACTAACTAACCATCCTCTTAGCACCTACCTAAATGGTAAACTTTTCTTTTTAAAGTTCTGATGAAATTAAATGAATAGCAACATATATTTTCATTTATTGTGTTAAAAAAGGTGAGAATGTAGACCTTCAGGTTCCCGAAGTAAAAACATACAGTAGCTTTCTCCATTACAAAATGGAATTTTAACATTAACTCATAAATCAATTGTGACAGATCTGTAGAACTTTGAGGTTGTTAATTAAATGAATATATTTTTGTTGAACCAATCTGTCAGCATTAATAAGAAAATAATTTAAAAAAATCTAATTTAGTTGAGGAATGTGTGCAGAAATACTAGATTACTCATGATGCTGTACAGAAGATTTCTCCAATCAAAAAGCTGTTGCAAACTATCAGAAGACATATTTAGCTCTGTTTATTTACATGAAACATTGTTAAAAAATGAAAATACTTAGTACGACCAACATTTCTGTCATTTTTGCCAGTGGTTTATGGCAATTGCGTTTCTTTCCCCTATTAAAAGTTGTTAAGTACATGACTTGTATAAACAGTATTTTATTGCTTAAAATCAAGGTTTGTATAGTTTGTAATGTAGGTGGTTGGTTTGATTCATTGCTCATAACATTTTAACAAAGTTCTATTTTTTTCATTAAAAATGGTGGTCCATTACGATGTCATATTTTTAGCTTTAGTTGATGTGTAATGTAGCTGTGTGAACATAAACAACATCTCTGAATGTAATGTGCTCAAAGGTCCATGCAAAGGGAGACTTTGGCTTTTACAGAGTTAGCCTAGCAAAGCCCACAGCGAACAAAGTTTGGGGACTACAAAAAAATACCTACGGGTTAGTGAAATCAAAAGGTTTCCGGTTACATGCATTTACCTTGTGCATACGCCATGCACAGTAAAGGGGTGTGGCCAGAGGCGCTGTAATGTTATAGCAGAGAAAGTTAAAATGCCTTCCAAACACTTCTATTTCCTCAGAGCTCATTCTGTTTTTGTATTTAGACTTCCAAAGGACATGACATAAAGGGAGAAGAGCTTACAATTTAAATTTAATTTTGTTCAAGAGGATTTTAAAAAAATATATAGCAAGCATTTGACAAAGGACAGCTTCCTGAATCTCTCCAGTTCAGTTCTGGATTCGGCTAAAACTCCTCAAAGGAGCAGCTCCAACAAGCAGAAGCTCTGCATTGTGAGTCACAACCTGTACTGTAAGTATTTTAATTGTTAAAATTGATCTATGACATGCACAGTGTCTAGCATTAATGGTATGCTGTAGCATGGACGTAAACAAGGATGTAAACAACGGGAAATGCTTTTTGGCATCGTTTGCTGTTGTTCAAATTAGCTACAAATTCATATTTACCCATCAAACCCCTGTTAACAGCCACACTCTTCAGCATCGCTGCAGTGTCTCTCTGTGCGGCCGCTTTTTCCTGCGTTCAGATGCGAATACGCACATCAATATAGAATAACTTTTTCAACACTGTATAACAATAATTAATATTTTTACAATACTGGGATGGTTGGGCTTAGGGTTGGGGTGATGGAAGGCGTTAATAAAATACGATTTATTTGGTCATTTAATTAATAACATAAATAATAAAATACAATAAATAGGAAATTAAATAAATAATATAAAGGATTCTCGTTAACGTATCTGACCTAGCAACAACCCTTTAGGCACGAACGTGCATTTTTCGAAAAGAAACCACCCGTGACTGCATTTGTACCTTCATTTCTAAAAGTGCTTTTAAGAAATTAAGGTAAGAAAATAAAACTTTTCTCATTAAAATTGTAAGATATTTTACAGCACATTTTAATAGAAAACAATCTTAAATATAAATTATTATGCAGTGCAACCCCATTAGCACCATAGAACATAGAACATTGCACAGCCATGCACTGAAACCATTATCTTCTGCACACTGGAGCAACAACCTGTCAATTAACTGCCACAACCTCACAAGTTTTATATAGGCAAACACAACTCTCATTTTCCTCGAACAATCTATATAGCTAAGTGTTCATTTCCTGTGTGTTAGGGAAAATGTTTTGTTTCAGTGTCAAAGAGAGTGTGTGAATGTTTTGCTTGTGTGTGGGTCATAAAGTCACAGCTGCTGATTGAAAAGGAAGTATCGTGCTGCGTGACACTGGGACAGTGGTTATGGGATCTGCCGGCTGATGGAGAGAGAGAACAATGGGTTAGTGGAATAACAGGCCTTCACTAATCCCATTAGCTGTGCACAAATGTATGCACATAGGCGAGACAAGTGGGGATGACTGCGCTAATCCTACCTCTCCAACACTTAGCAGGGTCAGGAAATGAAAGCTCAAGAGGTGTTTGGCACCTCACGCAGCTCTTAATTAATATCTCCAAGAGCATTACCTTTAACATAACACTGCCCAGAGAAGATAGGCAGGATGTGCTCACATTTACACAGGAAGTATGGCTGACGGGCGGTCGGCTCAGCCAATAAAGACGCGTCAGGATTGAAAGGATGTATTGTGCTGCATACTCTCGCATCCCTCCCCCCACCACCGCCTCCCTCCTGCTTCTGCTGCTAAGTCCAGCCTCCACTACTCCCGTATCCTGGATACGCTTCACAGCACCGCCATCCGATTGGCTGAAAAGGATAAGAGAAGGAAAAAAAACAGGAGCAAAAACAGAAGTCAATTCAGGGAGATGGATGGATGGTTTTTGCTAGTGCCGCTAAGCACGGATGCAGCGACCATTTCCAACCCTCAGGTTTGCGTTTTTTGTGTAGATTTCATGTGCATTAATCAGATGCAAGGGAATTAACACACAACCGAGCAGGAGGACAGCGAAGTGGAGGCAGCGAAAAGGAGGACGGAGGGAGAGAAGCAGACAGCGAGGGACGGAGGGAGAAGAATACATGGAGGCGGAGAGACACATCCACCCCTGCTCCTGACATCAGCAGCAGCGAGCGGGGAAAGAATTGAGGGGAGTGACGGACGAGGAGGAGGAGGAAGAAGCAAACACACGAGATAAAGAGCGAGAAGGGAGAGGAAAGGAAGTGAGCAGGTAACTGTGGACGTGGAGGCTCATCATCCCCCTCCCCCTCAGGCTTGACGGAGAGTGCAGAGCGGACCGGCTGGCAAAGTGTGTGCCATCGAGCGTTCGCACACACACCTCTAGGCGAGGGGGATTTGGGCGCCATGGCTCGTGGAGGCCAGCGGACGTCGACTCGGCAGGGCCTGGCTCACTTCCTGCTGCGCTGCAACCTCAGCCCGGAGGCCCAAAAGGTGGTGGTGTTCGTCATTATGATGTTGCTGGTCATCATCAACGTAGTGCTGATGTTCCTGCTGGCCTTCCAGTAGGGCGCAGCCGCAGTGAGGAGGAAGAGCGAGGGGAGGGGTGCAGAGGAGGAGGAGGGAAAGTTGGTCCCTCTTGCTCACTCATGGATGGGTTTTCAGGATGCAGGCATCACAGTGCAGGTAACCGGAATGGGTGTGATTTTGTGTGTGTGAGTGTTTGATGTTGGCAGACTGAAGTAATGTTAATGTGCTGGGATGGTATGGTGTTAATTATTTACTAGTAGGAAAAACCACCCCGAGTGTCTGCTAGGGGTCAGTTATTTCATCTCAGGGCATGTTTTGTCTGATTCTATGAGTATGTTTGTGTGTTTATTTGTGGGATTCTTTGAATGATGAGGATTGTTTTTGTTTTGTAACTTACAGATCTTGTTTGGTGTTTTTGGCCCCTTTGAGGCTTTCTTTTAAGTCTCTGCAAGCAGAGGAATTGTTTTGCTGATGAGTAGGATGCTGCTGGATAAAAGAGGTCATGCTGCTGACATGATTATGGTGGGGTAATAGCTCAGTCGAGTGGAAACATTTTAAAACTAGAACAGCCAGGTTAGTTTTTAAAACCGTATTCACTCACTGTCAGCTTTATTTGGATCTGTGTGTTTGCTCAGTTACAGTATGCACCAGGGCTGTTTCTGATAGCATCTTCGAGCAAACCTAGAAGCTGCAACACACAGGCCGTGAAGAGGAGGCACATGGGAAAGTATGTGGGTGTGTCGCTAGGCAACAGGGTACATGGGCACAGCTGTGGTGATGATGAGAACGCAAGGCTCTGGATTCAGGGGGTGTTTATTCAGCCTTCGAGTCGCCGTTTGTGGACAGAGAAATGAGTGTGATTGTTACATCAGCACCAATAGATCACGTTTAGCTGCGCGGCTGAGACGGTTTGATGTAAGTGGTTGAGGTTGCCAAGATTTCACTTAATTTTCACTGTAGCCATGCTAAATGGTATGGCCGTATATTACCCTGCTTTTTGTTTTCTTTGCCAAACTAATTCTTGCAAGCAGAATGCAGAACCTTAAATTGACCACTCAGGGAAAAAGCAGACAGTTGAGATGAAAAGCTTAATTTGGCAATGCTTCCTCTATTGATACATTGCAGTGTGCTTTTGGTTAAGTACTCTGAATAAAAGGTTTCATATCATTGCATATGATATACACACTATGCCACTGAGAGACTGACAATGACAATGAAATTGAATGTTTTGTATCAATGTAAGGTGCATTTTCATTCAGCATAGTAAGGCACAGAATTGCCCTTTTTATAGTTTACACATAAGCGCACACACATATGTATTAATTACGTTTTTTTACATCCATTTGGCATCCTTCGGATCAGTTCCTTTATTCATCAGGGGTAGCCACTGTGGAATGAACCGCCAACTTATCCAGTATATGTTTTACACAGCGGATGCCCTTCTAGTTGCAGCCTAGTACTGTGAAACATCCATACGCACCCATTTATACACATATATTATGGCCAATTTAGTTGGCCATAATTCACCTGTACTGCATGGCTATGCCGGGGCTCGAACCAGCAACCTTTTTGCTGTGAGGCGACAATGCTAGTCATGAAGCCACCGTGTCACCCACGTTTTATATCAATATTATACAGTTAGTTTGACTTAAAACAATTACATCTTTGCACATTAAAATCAATTTCGTTCATTAATTTTTTTGTTGGCTTTGTCCCTTTATTAATCTGGGGTCGCCACAGTGGAATGAACGCAGATGCCCTTTCAGCTGCAACCCATCACTGGGAAACATCCATACATACTAATTCACTACAGACAATTTAGCCTACCCAATTCACCTATTCCACATGTTTTTGGACTTGTGGAGGAAACCGGAGCACCTGGAGGAAACCCACAAGGACACAGGGAGAACATGCAAAGTCCACACAGAAATGCCAACTGACCCAGCTGAGGCTCGAACTAGCGACCTTCTTGCTGTGAGGCGATTGTGCTACCCACTGCGCCACTGTGGTGCCCTAAAATTAATTTATTGAAAACAAATACAAGTTGAAAGTAATAAGCAGCTATTTTATGTACATGTTTTTACTAAAGTATGTAAAAACATTGCAGAGTGTTTATTGTGCCAATTACCTGTTAAGTTTGGAATTGGTGGAATTTCCAAGACGCTCTATTTAAATTATCATGGAAAATGTAAAATATAAAAGTGCATTAAATCTTTACACTTTTAAAATATTTGACCAAAATCATACCAGATAAATTGTGAATATAAAATATGTAATGCGGCCTAATGCAAATTATATGTAGTTGTAGAGTTTATATTTCATATGTAAGAGGGAACAATACAGGAAGTCATTTTTACCAACAGTTATCAGGTTGTATATTACTAGATGAGTTATGCGGAAATGAAACCGCATGAATACTGTAGATATGGACTAGTGTCTGCGTGTTGTTTACGTGCATACGTGCTATGATGTCTAGATATTTTTTAAGACACTTCTATACAGCTTAAAGTGACATTTAAAGGCTTAACTAGGTTAATTAGGTTAATTAGGCAGGATAGGGTATTTGGGCAAGTTAATATATAATGATGATTTGTTCTGTAGACTATCAAAATATATATATATAGCTTAAAGGGGCTTATAATTTTGTCTTTAAAATGTTTTTTTTTTAATTTAAAACTTAATTAAAGCTTTTATTCTTGCTGAAATAAAACAAATAAGATTTTTTCCAGAAAAAAAATATATTATCAGACTGTAAAAATTTCCTTGTTCTGTTAAACATCATTTTTCAAACAAACAAAAAAAAAAAATAATCAAAGGGGGGGCTATTAATTCTGACTTCAACTGTATGTAATGTATTTTATTTATTTTATAGTATAGAGAGCTCTGCTGTGACGTAAATTTCATTTCGGGATCAATAAAAGTCTAAACCAGGGATGTCAAACTCAATTGCTGAATGGCCGCAGCCCTACACAGTTTAGTTCCAACCCTAATTAAACACACCTGATCAAACTAATTGAGTCCTTCAGGCTTGTTTGAAACCTACAAGTAAGTCTGTTGGAGCAGGGTTGGAACTATCCTGTACAGGGCTGCGGCCAGCCAAGAATTGAGTTTGACATCCCTGGTCTAAACCAAAAATCAAGCAAGAATATTTTTTTATGATATACCAGCCACACAAACTTTAATTAAAAAAACTTGGTATTTTTATCCAAATATGTATTTGCTCTCATACACATCTCTGTAGTTCCTTCTCCAACTTGATCAGTGCCGTTCATTGTTGCTCTTAGTTGTGTAAATTGCTTCCTTGTCCTCATTTGTAAGTCGCTTTGGATAAAAGCGTCTGCTAAATGACTAAATGTAAATGTAAATGTAAATGTTCAATCATTCCATTTCTCTTCCATCTTGTGTTTTTAATAGCTGATCAGTGATGGCAGTGTGTGCGCGGAGGCTCTATGGGACCACGTCACCATGGATGACCAGGAGCTGGGCTTTAAAGCTGGAGATGTCATTGAAGTAGTGGACGCTACGAACAAGGAGTGGTGGTGGGGCAGGGTGCTGGACAGCGAGGGCTGGTTCCCCGCCAGCTTTGTTCGGGTAAAAGAGAACAGGCTTCCTGCTCTTAACCAAAAATTTGATTAGTGTCACTATTACATTAGGCTACATTGAGGGGATGTTGATGCTACAATTTTCTTTTCCCACCAAAGTACATTGATAAAAGCAACTGCACATTCAGTAGCAACAGACAGAAATTTCACTGAACTATAATCATTGTTTTTCTGTAGTTACGGGTGAACCAAGATGAGCCCATGGAGGAATACCTAGCCCATCTGGACGGGGCCTCAGAGGGGTGTGGGGCCAGCATGGGGGGACCCTTGGGACCTGGACTGCCATGCAAGGAGCAGATGAGAGCCAACGTCATCAATGAGATCATGAGCACAGAGAGAGATTACATTAAACACCTGAAGGACATATGTGAGGTCAGTTTACCACAAGACACTTATCGATTGATTCAGCATGAGGATTATTATAATCTATCAATCTTTTGAAAAGAACAAAATCATCAAATCCCAGAAAACTGGTGCAAATTTGCATCTTTAATAATATAAGGGAACCAAGGAAACCACTGTATTTATTTCCTGAGTATTGAAAGATTGTGTCTCAGAGAAATAAAATTATATATGTGGCCCTGAACCACAAAACAAGTCATAAGTGCCATATTTTAAAATTGAGATTTAAATGTTTTCTCAGAGGTGAATAATTAAGCTTTTGTGCATGGTTTATTAGGAAAGTGCAATAGTTGGTTGAGGTGAGACCATTTGAAAGGTTTAGAAATCTAATTACAGAGAAAATCATTTTTAAATTGTCTGAATACTTGCATATTACAAACAATATAAATAGTTTTGATATATTTACAGTTAAAATTTAAAAAAAATAAAATGGAATGGAACACGATCTTGACTTAATCTTTTTTGTTTTTAATAGTAGCAATATATACAGTACAGTGATTTCACTTGAGAGAGTGTATATTTCCCTTTCCTAAACATTTTTATTTTTTACAAACTAAGTAACAGAAGTTTCAAATAATAAAATATATGAAATGAACAGTAATAATAAAATGGTAACAAAAATAATAGAAATAACTACATTTGATTGGGCTCAGAAAGGTTCAAATCTTTATTTATTCGCTCAAATTTAGTTGAGTTGTTATCAGTTATAAATTCCTAATCTAAAGAGAGGATTAAGTGGGGGAGTGCAATGGGTCGTAAATTGAAAATGTTTGTTCTGTGGATGGGAATTAGGTAGTAATATTTTTATATGTCTATGAAGATTGGATAGAGCAACCTAATGTATTCTGTCCACTTGGTCCAGATATTTATAAATACATTAATTTAGAGTCGAAGGGAGAATGGAATTTTTTTCCATCACATATGATATCATATACTATATCTAGACATTCATGGATTGTTATGGATTTAGGAAGTAACCAGTGTCTTGTAATAGCTTTTTTGGCTGTGATTATTAAAATATCAAGTATATATTTTTCAGTTTTACTTATTTGGATGTTAAAGCTTCTAAAATAAATAACCATGAATGGAAAGGGTAGTGTAACGCTGACAAGGGAGTGTGCGGATCCAAATACAGGTTTTATTTTGCAGAGAATGGTCTGGCAAGCAACAGTCAACAGGATCAAACAGATGTATACAGGCAATCCAGAATCATAGTCAATAAGCAGGCAGATGGTCAAAGGCAGGCAGCAGACAAGAATAAACAAACAAAACGTAGCAAACCTCGGTAAACGGCAAGATTAGGTAAGGGAAACACGTCGTAATGTGACAACTGTAAAACAAGACTCAGCAATAAGGGTGTCAGAGTGAGCTGTATATATGTGAGTGTAATCAGTCCATTAGCAGCTTTAGCTGTTTGAGTGTAATCAATGGGAAACTGGAACAGACGTGAGTGTGTGGTGCATGACTGGATCTTGTAATTCTTTTACTGGCAGATTTGCAGTTCATTAGCGAACTGTTGATACTAGTGATCTGCTTGGGCTGGATCACTGGTGATCGTAGCAATTAAGTATGTGTTCTATTACTCCATGTAATTCTACCCAAAATTGTGCCAGCGATTAGGTTCCTGAGACCCACATTGTCTCCAGCACTTAGTGTCCTTTCCTGTGGTGTTTGCTGTCTGTTTTGACGGTATGAAAAATCTTATTACACATTTGAATTCAAATTCTCTCCCTGTATGTGATTTAGTACATTTTGATGTAAATTTACATATGTCCAACCACTCTTCATCTAAAATAATGAGGTAACTTTTCTTTTCCCTTTTTTTTTTTTAAACATATTTCGTTGTGTGGGGGTTATTTAATCTAAATCCTTTCTAAAGTTTTGAAATTATACCTTTACTCCAACTGCTTTTGTTGGCATTTGTAAAAAATTCCAGTATTGAATCATCCAGGTTTATTTTATTTTCAATATAGTTTTTAAAGTGGCTACGTAATTAAAGGGGTCTAAAAAATTTAATTCATCCAGGTTATATTGTTTCTACACACTTTCATAAGGCTTTTCTCTGTGAGTGAGCTTTCTTTAATATTCTAATGATTTTTGGTGTATATTTTGACCTGTACAATACATATTTTGGTTATTGCCAAAAATATACTCTTGTGAGAATAGACTTTGTATAGACTTTGTGGGGGGGTGGGCAAGACGGAGCACTAACTCTGGTCCCCCTGGCTCTGCGATTGGTTGGGGAAATTCCAAAGAACCTGGGAAGTAAAAAAAAAAAGGTTCACATATGTAAATATATACTGTATATGCCTTATTAGTTCCTGCGGGCTGCTCTAAGTTAGCTCTTCACCATATTCTGATCAACTGATCAAACCAGTTATTTTTGGTGCATTTCAGCAATTTATTTGATGTGTTTGTAATGCATCTCATCTTATTGTCATTCGTTTAATTTATCCAGAGAATAAATTATTATTGTAAGTACATAAGCTTTATAGATATATCCAGTTGCAAAAAAAGACGTATATGTATGTGGATGTGCGTTTAGAATTGCTGCCGCATATTTCATCCATGCTACAGCATTAAATCTTATGTATTTGGCTTCCAGGGCTATATAAAACAATGTCGGAAGAGGACAGATATGTTTACAGAAGAGCAACTGCGCACTATCTTTGGCAACATCGACGAGCTCTACCGATTCCAGAAGAAGTTCCTCAAAGCCTTGGAGAAAAAATTCAACAAAGAGCATCCTCACCTCAGCGAGATCGGCTCCTGCTTCTTAGAGCAGGTAACCTGACTTTCCCTGTAGGCGTCTATGTAAGATGCTGCTTTAATTTCGATTTTTGAGTTTACTCTGTTCTCCTTGCTTCTGTTTCCATCCAGCAAACAAACTTCCAGATCTATTCTGAGTATTGCAACAACCACCCCAATGCCTGCGTGCAGCTCTCCAAACTGATGAAGATCAAGAAGTATGTGTTCTTCTTTGAGGCTTGTCGCCTGCTCCAGAAGATGATTGACATTTCGTTGGATGGATTCCTACTTACTCCTGTTCAGAAGATCTGCAAGTATCCTCTGCAGCTCGCTGAACTGCTCAAGTACACCAACCCACAGCACAGGTACTGCCTCTAAATGTTTACTACAATATGAAAACTTTTTTACACATAAAAGTCCATGTAGAACATTTAATGTCTGAATGCACTAAGTGAAGTTTATTTATAAACTAATTTCGAGAGGATCACATGCTTATGATTGCTTGCAGCTTGCCCCGCATTATTCAATTTATGATTCACCAATCAGACGATTCTAAGCCCCAATAAATAAAAAAAAAGCCCTTCCACCTCTACCCCTCCTCCTTTGCTAAATGGATGGCACGGTGGCCCAGTGGTTAGCACTGTTGCCTCACAGTTAGAACGTCACTGGTTGTAGTCCTTACCAAGCCAGCCGACGTTTCTGTGCGGAGTTTACACGTTCTCCCCGTGCTCACAAGGGTTTCCCCTGGGTTCCCAGGTTTCTTCCCACCGTTAAAAAACATGCAACCTAAGTTAATTGACTAACCCAAATCAGCACCATAAACATGCTCCAAGTAAATGGTTATCTCTTATGTGCAATCCCCATCAGTTCTTTAGTTACTACAGCAGGGGAGTTCTTGAGATCTACCTGAGCTCAAACTCCCCTCTTGCCTTGCAAACGGGAGGGAGTCCGGGCTCGAGGATCTTATGAGCTCAGGGCTCTCTCCCGGGACAGCATGCCAAACAAGCTTTATAATCAATCATCAGTTATGTGTGAACTCTTGAAACATTCTTTATATTATGAAATGTTTAATATACTGTATATGGCAAACATACATATGAAAATGCAGATCTTTAGTAACTAAAAAATAAAACATCCCCACATTTTACGGAGATAATTTGATTATATAGGACACACATGCACAAGATTAATTAATTGATTTGAAAATAAATATGATGAATACTATTTTATTCAGTATAGATAGGCGCAAGTCAGAAGCGATGGTATGGGAATCTCATAATGGTACAAAATAATTTTATTTTCCACTGAATTAATTTTTTTGGACTTTCCATCATTCCATAACAGTAAAAAACAGCACTTTTAAATGTATTTGTAACGGAGGCCAGCTAGTGTGTGCTGTGCAGGTAAACCTCACTCCTCTGACCTCTCAAGGTGCTCTAGCGACATATGCTAGAGGCCATGGTCTTTAGCCTCCTTGGTAGAGCAACCGACTCCCATGCGGAAGGTCGACCGGCGGGGTTACATATTCACAAAGAAAATAATTGAAAAAATTTTATCTTTTTTTTATTATTATTTTACAGTTGTTTTTTTTACTGGAAAGCAATATCTTTGTTGAAATTTTTAACATAAAAAATGCATAGGCTGTGTATGAAATCACATACTTCCCTATTTTAAAGTGTGTGTAAACCGGAGGAAACCCACACCAACACGGAGAGAACATGCAAAAAAAAAAAAAAAAAGAGAAACGCCAACAGACCCAGGCAGGACTTGAACCAGCGACCTTCTTGCTAACCACTGGGCCACTATGATGCCTAATTCCATTCATACTACTCACTTTCCTACTAAATAGAATTTACTTTCCTAACAAAAATCTTGTAGCAAACTTAAATCCAGTACCTTCCCGAGAAGTTGGGAGTGCTAACACTCCCGTTTTTCGAGAGAGTCTCCTGTATTCATACCCATCTCCTGCCACCCTCCTGTGTTGTTATTTCTCTCCTCCGCCACTCCAACACTCTAACCCCCAGGTCCTCAGCTTTTTTGGTATAGTACAGTTTTTGGAGTTTAACACTCTTGGGTCGCTAACTTTGGTTAGCTGCGATCGTTTCCTGGATTTTCAGAGACAAATGTTGGCAGGTATGGCAGTAGGCCATTTCGGATGCAGCCATAGTAATAAGTTTAAGGGTCTGATGATGACAACTTACTGAATTTTGCAAAATGACACTTTGCAAATGAAATTTAATCCAAATATCTTCATTTCCTTTCTTTGCAGAGATTATAAGGATGTGGAAGCTGCCTTAAACGCTATGAAGAATGTGGCCAGACTGATCAATGAGAGAAAGAGGCGTCTAGAAAATATTGACAAAATCGCTCAGTGGCAGAGCTCCATAGAAGACTGGGAGGTAAATGACAGGAGCATCATGGGTGTAGATTCTCTTAGTGACGCAGATCTGTGTGGTCTCACGGTCTCTTTCTCATTTCATTAGGGTGAAGACGTCTTGAGCAGGAGCTCTGATCTGATCTTTTCTGGAGACCTGACCAAGATCTCCCAGCCACAGGCTAAAGGCCAGCAGAGAATGTTCTTCCTCTTTGACCACCAACTGGTTTTCTGTAAGAAGGTCAGTCACTTGATGTGCCAGTGAGAGCAGTCACTGTTAGTCACGGCAGATGGTGTTCATGCAGGTATTAAAGTTTTACCGTCTTTTTAAAAACCACAGGATCTGCTTCGGAGGGATATCTTGTACTACAAGGGTCGGTTAGACATGGATGAGATGGAGGTGGTGGATGTGGAGGATGGGAAGGATAAGGACTTTAATGTGAGTGTGAAGAATGCCTTGAAATTGTGTTCTCCTGGAGGAGAGGAGGTTCATCTCCTGTGTGCCAAGAAGCCCGAACAAAAGCAGCGCTGGCTGAGAGCCTTCACAGATGAGCGGGAGCAGGTCCAGCATGACCTCGAGACAGGTGAACGGCGCTTCTGGAGCTGTATAAAAACACTGCTTTTGCTGTTCATAGCTAGTCTTTAAATTGATTATTTAATTATTATTATTTCCTTTATTTTACACTCTTAGTTCATATCCAAAAACATTTAAACATATATAAATATCTTATTATCATTTAAAAAAACATACAAACATTATTTCAATGCTTCCAATACCAGGAGTAGTAATTAGTACCGCTTAGTGTGGGATAATTTGAAACCTTTATAAATGTATTTCTTGGGATATTCAATCGACACATACAATTATACATAGTTGGACTATCCATGATTATGTTTGCAGTTTATGATAAAACTTTATACAGAATCTTTGTTGTTAAATGACAAAAATAGTTAAGAATTCCATTATATACAGTAAATTCTTAGTTCTCCAAAAATATGTTCTACCATTCCAGGTTATAAACAATCTCGCTTTCTCTCATTGACACACACACACACACACACACACACACACACACACACACACACACACACACACACACACACACACACACACACACACACACGCAGCACCAAGCCATCGGCGCACAGCATTATGCTCTCTCTCTCTCATACACACACACATAGGCAGAACCAAACAAGGGACACACAGCATCACGCTCTCTCTCATTCACACACATAAACAGTGTTCATGCGGATGTGTGCGTGCTCGCTTGCTTGGGAACGATATTGTTAGACCGCCCGCTCCAGTTCAAATTACACCAGAGTTACCAACCGCTCCCGCGATTTATTCTGAAATTTATTCCTGCACCGCAAGAAATCTGGTCGGGTCCCATGGCTCAGCAGGGGGAATGCAGACCTCTAGTTTGTATTTACCACAAATCCATTCTCGATCGGTCGAAACCCAAAATACTGCCAAACTGCTTAGGTTGTGTTCTTTTTCGAGACCGGGTCACTTGGTGCATGACTCACCATCTTACCTCACCTCTCTCTCTCCATTGTTTTTTATGACGGTACAACCGTATTGAAACTGATACCGTTGCTATTTTTAGATCCCATGGTATACCATATTACCGTATTACTGCCCAAGCCTACTGCCTAGTTAACCTAATTAACCTAGTTAAGCCTTTAAATGTCACTTTAAGCTAAATACTTGTGTCTTGAAAAATATCTAGTAAAATATCATTTACTGTCATCATGACAAAAATAAAAGAAATCAGTTGTTAGAGATGAGTTATTAAAACTATTAAGTTTAGAAAAGTGTTGTAAAATTTTTCTCTTCGTTAAACAGAAATTAGGGGAAAAAATAACAGGAGGCTAACAATTCAGGGGAGCTAATAATTCTGGCTTTAACTATGTTTTAATAACAAAATATTTTTTATGATGAGAAACAGCTGTTCTTTTTAATCACATTGTGTTGTGCTTTTAAAGAGATAGTTCACCCAAAAATAAAAAGGACGAGTCATTTTTTTTTTACCCTTCACTATTTCAGTCGTCAGAAAAGAAAATATTTTTCGAAAAAGCTGGAAGCTGGTAATCATTGAATTACATAGTATGCTTTTCCCTGCTGTGGATATCATTGGCTACCAGTATCACAACATTTTTCAAAATATCTTCCGTTGCATTAAGTGGTATAAAGAAACATATAAAGGGTTGGAACCACATGAGGAAAAGTGAATAGTGAGTACATTTTGGGTACATCTTGGGGTGAATTTTCTCTTTGAATACTCTCTTCCTTTGTATTTTAAATGAAAATGCCTGTAAGTGCATATTCAGTAAGGTCAACTACAAAAATAACATCCATCGCCATGTTTCACTGTGTGTCAGTAAATCCTGCCAGTGCTTTAACACAAAAGAGGGTTTGTGCTGATGCCAGCTGTTTGTGAACCAGAAAGCAACTCCCTGGCATATTCTCTTATATTATGTATTGATATTTGCTTATCTTAAGTCTTTTTTGTGTTTTGTTAATGGTGCACGTTTAACAGCAAAAAAAAAAAAAAAAAAAGCTTACAAATGTTTTTGATTTGCCTGCAAACAGGTTTTACGATTACAGAGGTCCAGAAGAAGCAGGCAATGTTGAATGCAACTAAGAGTCATCCAACAGGGAAGCCTAAAGGTAATTTTCAGGCTGTTGTGTCGTTCTCTATTTCTGAGATGTTTTCAGGATATACCTGGTGTCTCATCTCTAATGCTGTCACTATAGAGGAAGCAGCTGTATACTTTACATTCACTGGCCTCTTCATTAGGTACACCTTACTAAAACCAGGTTGGACTCTCTTTTGCCTTCTGAATTCTTTGTGGAATAGATTTAAGCAGGTGCTGGAAACATTCATCAGAGATATTAGTCCATGCTGGGATGATAGCATTACACAGTCACTGCAGATAGAGAGCTCATCCATGATGTGAATCAGCTTTTTTCAAAAACGTCTCAAATGTGTTTTGCTGATTGTAGAGACCATGTGAGCTAATTGGTAACCCTGTTTATCATATTTAGAAAGATATTGTTTAAATTATTTGTTTTTAAATAATTTTTATTAGGTTTGTGAAATGGCACATTGTCCTGCTAGGAGCCAGAAGATGATGTAGTGCACTGTGATTATAAAGGGATTGACATGATTAGCAAAAATACTGGGGCATTTAATCAATGCTCAACTGATATTAAGGGGCCCAAAGTGTGGCATGAAAAATCACCCACACAATTACACCGGTAGTAGCTTGAACTGTTGATAGGACAGGATCTTTTAGGATCGGAATTGTTTGAGCGACTGACTGTCATACTGTAACCAGCAGTGTACAAGGCAAGCAAAATGCAGACAGCTGATTGGTCAAATGGGTGTAATGTCCGCTATGTCAAAATCTACTCTGCAAGTTACTGTCTCTTATTATTCACATGAACCCTCATGCACAAGTCTAACACTACCTCAAACAAACCAAAAAAAAAAAAAACTTAGCAAAGGAAAATGTAATTATTTTTATTCATAATTTGCCCTTTCTGTCAGTAATTTCTCATGCCATACTTCAAAATGTGCATTAACACAGGGTGATGGAAAACCCAGCTACTGGCGTGCTCTTTTTTTCTGCTGCTGTAGCTCATCTCCTTCAAGGTTTGACTTGTTCAGAGATGCTCCTCTAGACCTTGGTTGTAATGAGTGATTAGCTGAAAAAAAGGGAACCAGTCTGCTCAGTCTCCATCATGTCAACTAGATAGTATCTCTTTTTTAAGACCAGTCTATGAATAGAGAGAGAGTTGTGAGTGAAAATCTCAGTAGACCATCTGTTTCTGTTATGCTCAGAGCACATGCCACAGTTAAAGTAACTTCAGTCAGCTTTCTTCTCCATTCTGATCAGTTTTAACTTCAACAGATTGTCTTGAACAGAAGGCATTGGGCTGCTGTCATGTGATTGGCTCATAAGATATTTGCCTTAACAATTAGTTGAACAGGTGTACCTAATAAAGTGGCTGATGATTGCATTTCGGGGGGGGGGGGGGGGGGGGGGAGACCACCCTTCTCCTATTTTGGAAAGTTTCATTGATTTAAAGTTGCTAATGTATGTAGCTAAACCAATCTCTGGAGAGTGCAGAGCCTTTAAACTAAGCAACAGCAATAGTGTGTATCATGTAAGCAATGAGTTGTGCCGTGTGTGTTCACTATTCATCTGTTTTTAAGCATGTGTTTGATCATGTTTGTGTGTTGTTTCATTATTATCACACTGCTCTGGAGCAGCATTAGCTTTACAGCACCTTTTGGCACTCAGAGCTCCACTCCTTCACCCCAAAACCAAGTGCCTGCGTTTGTCCGAGCCTCCAGGACCTCTGGTTCCCAGGGCCACCCTAACTTCACCTCTCCTCCCTGAAGGGCCTCAGCGCAGGCAGGGGCGGGGGGTTATGGTGCCCCCTGGGGTCCTGCGCAGGGCTATATCCTGGGTCTCCTCTCAAAGTAGAGAGCCCATCGAGTAGTCAAGGGTAATTCACAGTGTGTTAAGTGTGACTTACACACTTATTTAACCTGACGCTGGGTAAAGAGTGATTTTCTGATCAACCATGTTCTTTCTTTAAGTGATATATGAAATTTTGCAGACTGAATATGATAAAAAGGCTGTGTTGGATGACAATATACAATACAGTAACATACAGCATACGGTGTAGTCTGATTCAGTAACATACAGCATACGGTGTAGTCTGATTCATAAACCAATGTCTATATTAAACTATATCTTTTCAGCATATGTTGCAAAAAATATAGCCTAGCTAACAAACAAAGCAATGTAGGCTGATTTACTAACAAACAACCAGTCCTTTGGTGAATCAATAACCAGTGGTGGAAAGAGTACTAAAAAAATTATACTCAAGTAAAAGTACCATTACTTGCCTAAAAATGTAGTGTAAGTAGAGTAAAAGTACCTGTTGTAAATATTACTCGAAGTATGAGTAGACCTTTCAAAAGTACTCAAGAGTAGTGAGTGTTATGCTGTAAAAAGCTGATGTGATGTATTGTGTAGTGCGTTTAGTTATTGCCCGGCAGGCACACAACGTCATAAGGTGTTAATATTAGGTTAGATTTAGGTTGTGACGTCAGGTGACCAAAATTCAATGTCTAGCCAGCGTCCAAGGGCAACGTTATTTTGATGTCCGATAACGACATCAAATGACGTTGATATTTGATTGATTTTAGGTTGTGTTGTGTCTTAAACCAACGTCATATTGACAATATTTATTTGTCAGGTCTGACAAACAAAATCCAATGTCTGATTGATGTCATCATGGTAACGTCCACACAACAACAAGCTGTAACATCATTAGACGTTGATATTAGGTTGGACATTGACGTTGGCCTGACGTTAAGTTCTGACGTCAACTCGATTATCATTTCCAAACAAAAATGGCAAATAAAATACAACATCCCTAATAGCCCATGTCTTGTGCCTGCTGGGTGTTTAAAGCCATTTCGGTCATCAAACAGTAAACATCCGTCAACGTCTCATCAGTGACATGCATTTAAACAGTTTCTCGATCGATGTGTGTAAAGGTTTTGGACATCTTCTTGACACTTTTAATGCCTACAAACAGTTTGCTGCCATTATAAATCGCCCATGTGAGGCAGTTCCTTATGATGCGATTTACCTGCTATGTGTGATTTGATTGGGCAGGACTGATTTTTCTCATAGACAAGGAAAAACAAAATAGTGACTGCAGATTAAAGAAAAGTAGTTAAGTAAAAGTATTGATGCTGCATTAAAAAAGTACACATTTTGAAAACTATTAAGTTAATTACAATTGCTGAGAAAAACTACTAAACTACAGTCATTTGAGTATTTGTAATGTGTTACTGTACACCACTCTCAATAACATACTGCAGCACAAGCAGTTCATTCAAATTCAGAAACTAATTATTATTTGACAGTTCTATTGTGTATGAAAACACACTGAAAATGATCATTCCAAATCAGACGGCTGGTCTAATTTGATTAAACCAGCTCTTCTTTTTGAACAAAGTACTGTGTTTCACAAACAAATGACTCTTTTCAAATGGTTTGTTTCAGTGAATCAGGGACCTGTACCCTGAAGCTGGGTTAGCTGGCTATCAGTTAAGTACAGTTTAGTTTGCACCAATCTTGGGTTTTAGGTAACATGAAGCTCAACTTTAATCACTCTTTGTTGCCATGATATTACGGAGCAGCTGAGCTGAGCTACCTTTACAATACCTAAAACCCAGAATAGGGTATATGCACACAGACTTTTCATTTCAGCCAGCCAGTCTCAGCACTTCTGGTGAACTGCCTTTCCATTCTAAAATTGCGACATTTAATTAAGGGTTAAGTATCTCTTTAAAAATCAGCAATCTTCACCGCCTGTTTGATGTACAGTACAAAGTGGGTCTCAGACCGGACAAGAAGCACTGCATTAAATTTCACACCCACCCTGACTTTAAAATATGAAAAGTTTATTTTACTCCAGTATTTTCAATGGAGTTTCTGCGCTCGCCTGCTGATCCTGACGGCGCTAACTAAATGAATGCTTAAGTCTATTTAACTGAATGTATTTTAATTACATTACAACATCGATGCTGTAAAAGGAACCTTATGTAATTGAAAATAGTCACATAAACCTTTCACCAAAAGCTTATCTTTGGCTGAAAAACACTAGCCCATTGGTGCGTAACTGGCTAAACTTAACTGGCTAGCTGGCTAATTTGGCGTCATGGTACAGCCCACAAGAACAGAGTAAACAATGAAGTCTGATTCACAAACAACTCATTCAACTTCAAGTCATTCATTTATAAAGCACAGTCATAAGACTGACTAAAGTACTGTACATAAGACTAAGTAAAATAAAAGACAGAAAATAAAAACATCACAATAAGCCAAGAGAAACGACTGAATACATTCAAAAATGAAGCACCAGAAAGGACTAATAAAATAATATTAAAAAGCCAAGGTAAATAGGTAAGTTTTTAGGAGTGAATTAAAAATAGATGGAGGTATTCAAATCTCAAGGGGCAAAGTGCTCCATGACCGAGGACCCGCCACAGAAAAAGCTCTGTCCCCTCTGCATATCAGTCTGTTTAATGAATAAACAAAAACACAATTTTAATCAAACCATTTTTAGTGAATCAGAAACACAGAGAAAAGTGTTATGATTAACACATTACTCTTATGAAAAGGGTTCATATGAAAAATTTATAAATGATTATTTTTATAATGTACAAAATGTTTTGCTTTCATACAAAAGACCAAATCAAAATGAATCAGGAAATCTGTATCAATACCCAGCGCTTCATTTATAGTAACTCTACAGCTTCCTTAATTCACTGGCAACCCATCCATTCCCTAAGGATACAAATTTACTAAACATTAATATTAATAATTATAACAATAACCTTCAATAATATAAATACTTAGAATTGGTCCAGCTCAAAACGAACCCCTCCCTTGTCTACTAAACCAAACCACCTACTAAAGTTTGAGTCCACAAGTGTGTCCAGTTCCCTGCTGATTGAACCATGTGTTTGTGTCCTGCAGCTGTGACCCGGCCCTACTATGACTTCCTGCTGCGGCAGAAACACCCGACGCTGCCCACCGCCCTGCCCCAGCAGCAGGTCATCATGCTGGCCGAACCCAAACGCAAGACCTCCAATTTCTGGCACAACATCGGACGCTTGACACCGTTCAAAAAATGAGCGACTCGGTGCCTGAACTTGTGTTTTTATCCCAGTGTAACACGTTTATTTTTATTGTCCAATTGCGGAAGCACTTTATGGGTTGGTTACAATCACATTGGCATCGAACTTCATCGGAAGGCACTCGGTATTAAAGACGGCTACTACTGCTCCACTTTTCCGGCACTAACTCGACTACTGCTGCAAGTCTTCATCTTTCGGACACGCTTCATCCACACACTCCCGCTTGAAGAGAGGACTTCTTTATATGTCTTTAATTTATTTCGTTCAAGTTTTCAATGTATGCCAGCTATCCACAGTGCCCAACTACTAGCTTTTGTATGTACTTTGATACTTTTTGCGTAACCCGCCAAGAGGATTCCAAGGGTTGCGCGCAAGACCGCGTTGAGGTTTAATACGGTGTTAACTTCCTCAAGACTGTCAAGCCGTGTCCATCGATATCATGTCAGTCTGTGTATGCAACTATCGAGCCAACTCTCTCCTCATCAAGCCTTTTAAAGATTCTTTTAGACGACGTCCCATCGGTTCCACCCTTTCAGACGAGCGGTTCATGTATGTGCTCATTCCATTCTTCTGCTGCCTAACGAACACTTGTCCTCCGTAACGAACTTCTCTTGAAGTGCCATTCCAGACGTAACCCAGATATTGTGATGGGGGTTGCATGAATTCGCTGTGAAACTCCACATTTTCAACCCAAATGAAATTGTCAATATTCTGTCATTCTGATAGATAACGGTACTATTAAATGAAAAAGAGTATGTTTGACACTTACGTCAAATATGTATGATTATCTTTGACCACAAAGCGAAGTATGTTAATAAAAAGCATTTGTAAGTGTTATGAATCTGACATTTGGCTCATGTGACACTGCTTTTTTAATGGTTTTTACTTCATTTTGAAGCATTTTTATGCCACAGGATTGAGAAAATGGAATTGCTTTGTCTTTGAAACCATTCCGAGTTAAGATTTCACAGTCGTGACGCAAACTGTGAACTTAAAAATAATCCATTCATTTTCCTTCAGCTTAGTCCCTTTATTGATCAGGGATTGCCACAGCGGAAAGAGCCGCCAACTGCCAGCATATGTTTTACACAGCGGATGCACTTCTAGCTGAAATCCAGTAATAGGAAACACCCATACACACTCATTCACAATCATACACTACGGCCAATTTAGTTTATTCAATTCACCTTTAGCACACTCAGAGGAAACCCACAAGGACATGAGGAGAACATGCAAAATGCCAACTGACCCAGCTGGGACTCTTTTTGTGAGGTGACAGCCAGCGCTACGTACTGTGCCACCGTGTCACCTATTTTCCATTTTTATTTCAGTAAATTTTTTTTTGCATTTAAAAAAAAGAATAGTTTATTTGTCTTATGTCTGTAGTTAGTATTCATAATACAAAAAAATTAAAAATGAAATAAAATGAAAAATACTTCATTTAAAACTACAGCGGAAGTCAGAATTATTAGCCCCCATTTTATTTATTTATTTTTTTAAATATTTCCCAAATGATGTTTAACAGAGCAAGGATATTTTCACAGCATGTCTGATAATATTTTCTCTTCTGGAAAAAGTTTTATTTGTTTTATTTTGACTAGAATAAAAGCAGTTTTTAATTTTTTAAACCATTTTAAGGACAAAATTATTAGCCCCTTTAGGCTAAATTTTTTTTTGGGATTGTCTACAGCAGTGGTTTTCAAACTGTGGTATGCGGAGGAATCACTGAGTAAAGAAAGAAAAAATTTATACAATTTTAATCATTTGATGCGTTCGATAACACGGATGTGATCAGCATTGGCTGTTCTCTAAAGCCTACGATCAAGGCGCTGTGCTTGAAATTTACTTTAGTGCATTGCGTCATCAGCTGCTAAAAATCAAGCAGAACTAGAGAAAGAGGTGTGTGGTGCTTGCTAGAGCAGTGGTCCCAAACCCTCGGGCCAACAGCAGCACTGGTCTGTAGATCAATTTGTACCGGGCCGCATAAAAAATGATTCATTATTTCCATTTTATTTATTATAAGACCATATTCTCATGTTACATCTCGGTCACTTGAGCATCAGAATTTAACCCACAGGCTAGCAAAATGAATAGGAACTGCAGGGCGACACGCTTGCGTATTCCAGGCGTCCCCAGTTGAAAACATCTTAACTTTTCAGAATGCGGCTCTGCGAGACACGTGGTCAAGTTGTCAAATTGTATAAATATGAATATGCCTCATTTTCGAACTGTGCAGTGCTGTAGCTGCTTAATTTGGCCAACTATGCTACTTTATTTCAATACTGGTCATTTTGGTGGTACGTGGAGGGATCTTTTTTTTTTTTTTTGAGGTGGTACTTGGTGAAAAAACTTTGAGAACCACTGGTCTACAGAACAAACCATTATTATTCAACAACTTGCCTAATTACCCTAACCTGCCTAGTTAACCTAATTAACCTAGTTAAGCCTTTAACTTGCACTTTAAGCTGTACACAAGTGTTTTGAAAAAATATCTAGTCAAATATTTTTTTACTGTCATCATGGCAAAGATAAAATAAATCAGTTATTAGAGATGAGTTATTAAAACAATTATGCTTAGAAATGTGTTGAAAAAATATCTCCATTAAACAGAAATTGGAGGGAAAAAAAATCAAAAGGGGGGCTAAAAATTCTGACTTCAACTGTATAGTAGAACTGTATAGTCTGTCAGTCATGCTTTTATATGGATTATGCTTTTAAAACTCTACAGCTTGGTGCATGGACACTTTTTCTTATGCAATAGTATGAGCCAATCATAACAGCAGCATTAACTGACACCCCCAATTGATGTAATTAGCTGTTAAAGCAATAGTTCATTTAAAACTCAATAGTTTTGAAACAAATATTTGCGCTTAACAAATGAAATTAATTATTTATAGGCTAATTGATGTCTGTGCGTACAAGGTTTCACTATCCACGAGAAAGTGAAAGTAGATAATGACAATCCCTATCTGTCATTCTCGCGCTGCAGATGCTCTGTTTAACAGTTTTCTTGCTAGTAAAACGCTCAGTTTTTCCACTTACAAAGTCGTCATGTAAATAGCAAATGTGCTATGGCGCGATGCAACTGGCTCTTAAACTCATTAAGGAAGTAAGCTCAACCCTTTTAGACCATGAGCCACAGCGCAAAGCGGATATTTCCGTCCTTATATTAGCAAAAGTGGATTCTGACAAGCCCTGAAAGCGTTTGCGCCCTGCGCTTGGATTGTCAAAATAGAGCCCTAATTGCGTGTCCAAATCCACTTTTGCTATTTTTTTGTGTTGTTTTATTGAGTTGAGCTTATTCTCTTTTTGAGTTATGTGTCTGATTTTAGTAGAATGTGTATTAAGAGTCAGTTGTGTCACGCCATGGAACATTTTATTTACATAGCGGACTTTTAAAAAAATGTACGCTTTAATAGTGAAAAAACAGTTTAACAAATCATCTGCAGCGTGAGAATAAAGAATGAGTCTCCTTCATTCAGCCTCTTTACTTTTTCTTTACTTTACTTTTACTCTTTACTTTCATGGATAAGGAAATGTATTTCGTGGATAAGGGGTGTTGTATGCACTCCACTGAAGACCACCATTAGCCTACATATTTAATTTCATTTGGTAAGAGCAAAGATTTGTTTTAAAACTATTTCTAAATTCAGTTCTAATTTCCAGCAAATGAATAAATGAACAATAACAAACAAAGTGAGGTGAAAAAACTTGGCCAACACAAATTGACTTACTTCTATAGGGCCCTATCATCCACCTGGTGCAATAGGGTGCAAGATGTGTTTGGTGGGATTTGTTGCTATTTTCAGACCAGCTCAACTGTAATTTTCACGTTTTGCACCATGTTGTTTAAACAGAAAATTCATTTACACCACTTTGTGAACTCATGGGTGTGCCTGTCTAAAAAGAAGGCGTGTTAAGGCACATTGTGGGCGCATGGCTATTTTGAGAAACTGAAATAGACCATTGACCAAGTAAAATCTGGTCTAAAGTCCAGGGCAGAGCACGCTAGTTGTGAGTCTGTGCAGGTTCAAATGCTTAATACACACAGAATGTATCAATACACAAACATCTTTACATATGAAAAAAGAATTAAAATGTTACAAAAATTATTATTTACTGCATAAATATAAAAACCACTGCCTCCATGCCTTCTTCATGCCCAGGGGCTTTCTTCAGTTTATTCATAACAATTGGCATTTCTATAATGTTATTATTAGCAGTAATATTTATTATATGCATATTTATATTTGCTTTAATAAAAACAAATTTAGATGTGTTTACCTGTCTGGTTTTGGAGACGAATGCATCACCATATAGGGCATACGAATAGGACATTTGTTTGGATATAACTATGTGGTTACCCACATTCTTCAACATATAAAAAATCTCATGTTCATTTGTAACACTTGCAGGGTTTATAAATGATGACAGTCTGTTACTTTAGGTGAACTGTCAGTTTTAGCAAACACTGTTTTGGCTCAAGTTGCTGCATGTATCAAAGCACAGCTATTAAATGCAAAACACTGTTTTACTTCATAAGCCACTGAAATGATTCATGTTCTGCCTGTATGACTTGCATTTTGATCATTAAGGACTGCACTTCTGATGTATTACTGAACAAGAAAGTCACCTTACCTTGGATGGCCTGGGAGTGAGTACACTAAAACATTTTCATTTGTCTTAAAAAACAAATGTGGATTAGAAGTAACTATTTTTTTTAGCAATTCCCAGATGTGTGTGTGTGCAAAAATTGGAGCATATTACTATAATACAAAAAAACTCTGTTATGTTATGACTTAATTAGAACTGCTCAGTGTGCTCTATCCACTTGTTAAGTGGTGACGTGTTTGTGACGTATGTAAATCTGTTTCCGGGTCCAAGCCGCCATTCATTTGAGTGGAGAAATTATTCATTTATGATCACGTTTTATTCCTATCACACATTAAAGTTCATTTTATATAAAATCATAGTGTACACAACAATCTCTGGGCTTGCTGCATAACAAATACCAAAATTTTAACAATTTATATTAAATAAAATGAATCACTTTCTGACCATCGGATATTAGGCATGGACATATATATTGCAATCGTGACTTTCGAAAGTATTAAATCGCTTTGTAAACGTTTATTATTACCATTTCATGAGTTTCCCTATTTAGTTGAATGAAAAAAATGAAAATACCGCCCCCTAGTGACAGATTCAAACACCTGCGTTTACTGTTTCTATGGAGCATCTTAAAATCAGCATCAGTGTTCACTGCTTGTTCGGCAACCTTAAAACAAGACAAAATCATAATGTACATTCATACATTTGCATTTGTTTCTATTAAAAAGCGGCTTTGATTATTCATTTATGCTTAAAAGGACCAGAACAGCACCATGTGTTCATATAATATTTAATAAAGCATCAAACCACATTATAGCAAAATCAATTAGTTTAGCAGTAAAAAATAAATCCATTGGCACATAAATCTGCTGAATAGTTGGCGATGGTGGAGTTTTTCTTTGCTGTAAGGCTACTGTGACGCCTCCTGAATGGCAGGAGAGGACGTTCACATGGCAGTGTAGAAGACTGATATATTGCTCTGCGCTACATTAAAATCTTTCTCTGATCACATCATGGAGTGTTATTCTAGTCAAACACACACCTGCAGTGTCAATTTGTTTTCACAGGTTTTGCTGATTTCAGTTGAGCAGCTCCAAGTAGGTAATTGGCACTTTGCCTTTCTGATTTCCTCTTTGCCCCATCAGCCAATCAGAGTCCATCCCCGGCACACTGCTCACCGTGATCACCTGACAGGGAAATAATCACACAGATATACATATTTTAAAGCCGTTCACACAGAAGTTGCTTTCTTCTTTTCACTGTTAATCCATGTACAAATGCAGTTTTGTGCATGAGAAGATATTCAAAATTTTCATTTTCATAAATTACTAAGTTCAGCAAGCTATTAATTTGCATTTTATTTCAATTTTTGTTCAGTAGCATTACATTTTTTTTCTGAGGTGTTCGAATGAAGGATAAAAATGAGATTCAGATGAATTTTCCCAGGTTTCTTTGCTCATGTTTACCAATATGCCTGTATTGACTGTGTGACAAATAACACAGTCTGCAGTCACCATCAAACCAAGCAGATTCCCTGTTGGACAGCTGGCCAATCTGTGTGACTAGAATAAACTTATGGTAAATCCGTATCACACCCTTAACACTAGAATGCCTGATGAAGTCATTTTGGCCTTTTTTTGTAATGTAATAAAATTAAATAAAAGCATTAAAATAAAAATAAAAGCATTAAAATAAAACCCAAAGAATTATAGTACACTGACTTTAACTAAATGTTTGTATATTTCAAACCACATTATAATCATTTTTCTTTTACTAAGTCCCTTTATTCCAGGATTTCTGCAGGTTTCACCAAGTTAATTTTAAGACAACATTTTAGCCGATTGCACAAACTCTCTATCTCTACTGAATTGTCAGTCTCAGTATGATTAAAAAACACTGTAGGATTTACTATAAATGACTATAGTATATTATCATGTGGGTGTCTAACAACTGAAATCAACCCAGGCTCATTTTGAAAATGTAGTCCTGTGGACGTTACTAGAGACCACGAAATACGTCCCGGGAGGTATGTGTTTTTGCAGTTTTTGTTTTCGCGAATCCGCGAGAGGCTACTGTGTGCGCTTTTTCACGACAAGCTAACTGGACAAACTGGTTGTGGCAGGAAAGCCCTGCACACGGAGGTAAGCGGTCAGCTGTTAAGCGCCAAAAGGAATGGCGTCATACTGCTCTGTATCGGTACATAATTTGCGGTCTCCAGAAACGTCCACGGGACTACGTTTTTAGAATGAGCCTGTGTTGACTGAAATTGTTACTTTTTTTCTATTTTTTTTACCCTGCACTTTATCATTATTATTTATTTGTTTAGTATATAGGTTTTCACATTTCCATATTTAATTGTTAAAATGACTATAATTTAATTAAATATTCTTAAGAATAAAATATGATGTGTTCTTTGAAAAAGTGCACTTGCATTCTGGCATTATATAATGAGTGGCATAACATGGTGTAATAAAATGACAACAAGATCATTTATCGCAATATATTTTGGACCAATATACCGTACAAAAAAAAAATATATATATATACTGTATATATATATCAGACAGATACTATTTGGCAGTTTGGTAATATATTTTACGGTTAACCGTTAAATTGAGTATTCTGATTCATTATTAAAGATTCCTGTTGTGTTGTGGATGAAGTTTATACTAAATTCTAATGATACTCAACAAAAGAGAGCAGCAGAGGTGCATTTAGAGATGTATCGTGAAGCTTCAACCGTTAAAGCTTCACAATACAACTCTACACACGCCATTGCTGGTCTCGTTTGTTAAGTATAATTACTTATTATATAGTTGAGTTTTCATATACGATAAAGTTTAAAGTATATAAAAACACAAGCAGGAATTAATATCAAACTATAAATTTGCAGATGCCTTTTTTTTATATTTACTGGCATCCTTTCCCTCCAGAAATATAGTGAGAGCTGAGTGATATGACATGATGCATGAACACTTATATTGTGCACTTTACATGTGTTTATTGCCTCGTGTGCCGTTAGGTATGCCATAAATGTGAAATGTGGGCTGATGAAGGCGCACCTCGTCTGCCAGTAGAGAGAGCTCCGTGCTGCTGGCGGCGTCATAGTCATACAGCACACGGGCCTTTCGGGTGCCGGAGGAGCTGCGCAGCTCATTGAGAGCAGGTGAAGCCTGGCTGGGTGGAGGAGCGGGCAGAGACGCAGCTGGTGGTGCTGTGGGTACGCACACACTGGCGGACGAGCTGCCAGACGGCTGATTGTTGTTAGAGAACGTGGATGGAAAACTGGAGGAGATATAGTAAGAGTTAGTACTGCTGGCTTAACTGTGGGAATACATCCATGTACGTTTGCTTCTTGAAGATTACAAAAAAGCTTACATTGCAGTTTGACTGTTTGAGAGAACAGATGATTCCGGATGCATTTAGTATAAAACAGAGGAATTGGAGTACAGAAAAAACATTGATATCACAACAAAATGCATAAAGATATGAGGGTGCCAACCTGCCCAGCTGTTTCTGCAGATTGACTGTATACTGGTAACACTGGGCGTAATACGCAGCCTGAGCGTCCACAAAATCATTCAGACACCGCAAGTGATGGGCCTGAGCAGAGGAGAACATATCAAACATACATCAGTGCTTCCCACATGCATACGAAAACAACTAAATATTACGTTCCTATAGCATTTAAAGTGTTTGGATCCTAACTGACAAATTCATTAAGGTAAAAGATTCATTAGGAGTCATGAATCAAGACAACAATTCAGTCTTTGGATCGGTTCATTGATTGACTGGTTTTATTGAAAAGAGGGTTTGAAGTGTTAACTATTGATTGACACATATTAATTATTGATTACAATTATTAACAGAATTATTCATGACCATTTCGACTTATTTAGCAACATAACAGGCTCATAAGAATAATTTATTAAACTAAATAAAAAACGCCCATTCTGACTGATTAATTTAAATGACTAATTCAGGCAACGCAGTGGCGCAGTAGGTAGCATGTTCACCTCACAGGAAGAGGGTCGCTGGTTCAAGCTGGTCAGTTGGCATTTCTGCCAACTGACCAGCTCAAATGGGTTGCCACTGGAAGGGCATCCGCTGCACAAAACATATGCTGGATAAGTTTTCGGTTCATTCTGCTGTGGTGACCCCAGATTAATAAAGGGACTAAGCCAGGGATGTCAAACTCAATTCCTGGAGGGCCGCAGCCCTGCATAGTTTAGTTTCAACCCTGCTTCAACACACTTACCTGTAGATTTCAAACAAGCCTGAAGGACTCAATTAGTTTGATCAGGTGTGTTTAATTATGGTTGGAATTAAAATGTGCAGGGCTGCGGATCTCCATGAATTCAGTTTGACATCCCTGGACTAAGCTGAATAGACAATGAAAGAATAATCTAATTCAAAGGCTAATTTAAATAATTAATAATTAAAAGGATAATTAATACATAAACGACTAATTTGTTTAAAAGACTTCCAATTCCTATTAGATTATAAGTAGATTGTTAGGTTAGGGTTAGTGTAAGTTGACATGTACTTGCAAAGTTTCTCATAGTCAGTTAAATGTCTGTTGAAGGAGCAGTATCAACAGATATTAAGCAGACAGTCTACTAATACTCAAATGGACCATCCAAATAAAGAGTTACCAATGAGTTCTTAGGATTTACATTTTTACTGCACATTAATAGCACTGAGCATTAAGTTTTATAGTGTGCTTGTTCATTTATGGATCGTTTAAAATGTTAGCATTCTGAGGGCAAAGTTTATCAAATGAAGCATTAATATTAAATATTGAATAACAGTAAAGTGTTGTTTTACTCACTAAGAAACTACTGAAGTTGAAGAACTTAATTTAGTAAATATTTATAGTTGCATTTGCTGTTTTCATTAAAGCAAAGTTTATTTTTTTATGTCTGTAGTTGTATTTATTACCTATTGTAAACAGAGAAATCCTTCACTGGAAATTTTATAGATTTTTATAGATTTTTTTTATTATTAGATTTCACTTCATGTTATTTAAAGTTATTAAAAATATTTAACATTACTCAATAACTGACATCTCACCCCGACTTGTTGATGACTAAAATGTCTATGAAAGCCTTAAACTGTTTTTCTTTGTACGAAGGACTTGTTTTCAGCCAGGACATGACCTTTACACCTGTAAACCACATTACAGAACACTCCTGACCTTTACAGAAAATACAATCACCATTTGCTCACCCTTACTGTCTATAATATCCTAACCATAACAAATATCATTCTGTCCACTGTATTGAAAGAAACAGGAGATTATAAATATATTTTTTATACCATGTCATAATTACAAGATTCATTGCATAATTACTTAATAATTATTTCGAGTTAAGTACTTTGTCTTAGGCCTTCATATTGTTGCAATACTGTATAAATGCACAACTCCCAAGTAGATGTACAGCTCTGAGCAGAATATCATCTGTTGTAATCTCAACATTATGCTAATTACTAGATATTGTGATTACAGCAAAACTCATCTATGATTGGATAAAATGAGGGTGAGCAAACGATGCCATCATGTTGCTTTTTTGTTAACCATCCTGTTCACTTTAGTGAAGCATCATTTGTTTTTGGTGGTGTGCTACATATGCTGCAGTAAACACTGATTTTCAGAAGAGCTGTGTGAGCGTACATGAGTGCTGCTGATGCCCTCCAGCAAAAGCCTGGTGATCTCGGCCTGCCGGTCAAACTCACTCTGTGCTATCCTTAGTTCCGTCTCTGCCTGAGGGAAACACAAACACACAAAAAGAAATAACTGACTGATCCACATCAACAGTACAAGACATCACATGTAGGTTTTGCTTGAGCTGCAAAATAAAGGTGAAAAACATAAACAACTCTGCAGCCCCCTCTGCTGGACATAAGCAGAAACTGCATGTCAAAGCAGCTCCTCATTCACGTGGCCGGGTGAGTTTATATCAGACTGCACTAGCACACAAAGATATACGTGTATTTCTGATCTCAGAATAAGTGGTTTGATCGACAGATGGACTCACCTGCTTCACCTCCTCAGTCCACAGCTGGCCAGCATTCGAAAACAGTAAGAAACCGGTCAGATCAACTTATACCATACAAACTGATCACTACTGACAACGTTCACTACCATCTCAAGTCCTTACGCAGGAGAATGGCGTCAGCATTCATGTACTGTACAGGCTCATTCACTGAACGGAGGAACCAAAAACAGCTAGCTTATACCGTCTATGATGAAAAATGTGAATCACGCAACCAAGAGATTTGAATGACACATGACCGTCAAACACAACAGGTGTGAGAGCACATGCACAAACACAAATACCGCCCAAGTACAAAGGCAAAGCCCAGTAACTAAGAATTTGGTCAAAATTGAGTTAAAGCCTAAAACAAGCATGGTCAATCTGTCTAGTGACTAAGTCTGTTGATTTAATGTCAAAATTGCTGTCACTAAAAATCTAAGCTGATGTAAAATCTATAAAGGCATTGTGTTCGGTTTCAGTGTCTGTAGATACTGCATTTGGCCTTTGTTGGGCAGAATACTGAAAGCCCAGTTTGTATTTGCACTAAAGTATCCATCTTTCTAACTTAGAATCTAATTTAATGAACACTGAACTATTTCATCAGTATGCCTATAATCACGTATCATAATAATGTTGATACTAGAAACTGATATAAAATGATAAAAATGCAAAATTACAGTATTTTGTCTACAAATGTTATGAATATTTCAGAAGCTATGAGCAAATGTGGGTAGTTCAGTATAAAATTAATGTTCCGTGTTTATAATACATTAAAGATTAGCATTGGATGACAGCAAATGTACTCTAAATCAGTGGTTCCCAGAGTGGGGGTCACTGGACAATGACGAGGGGTCCCTTGGTAATTTACAAAAGTCAAATAAATGTTATAAACTTAAAATTACCATATTTAACCCACAAAGATAAAAATAGTAGTCAATAGTTACATAAAAAACAACAGCATGCAAATGAAAAGCCATCAGCCTTTCAATTTTTTTTTTCATGGGATTGGTGTGTTTGCGTTGGATTAACAATACGGCAATAGCTGCAACAGATTGATTTTAAAGCACCAGGTTAAACTTTGACACCTTTATGGCAATCAAATACAATAAAAATAAATACAGGCCACGACTGAACAATGAGAATGATCTTTAAGTGGCGGTCTCCAAAATCAAACTAAGAATAGACTTGCACTGAAAACATTGTGCCCACCAGTCTCTTTAGGTGAGGTTAATAAATTAATAAACAGCTATAAAAGATATGGATGTTAGACTGTTGCACTTATTTGTGTTGTCAATATGCATGTGTCTATATAAGCCTCTTGTAATGTGGACAAAGATTGTATATTTATAACCACCTCCAAGAAATGTGGGGGTCGCGAGTCACTGGCATTGCTATTTTGAGGGTCACAGGCTGAAAAGTTGGGGAACCCCTGCTCTAAATGAGCATTCATATTAAATATTGACTGATAGTAAAGTGTTATTTTAGCATCTCTAAGCAGTTTTTGAATTACTTTTTTAAGTTTGTATTTTAATAAAGTTTTAGTAATTGTGTTTTGTATTACTTTTATTTTTTATATATCTTTAATTTTCATTCATTTTTAATTATGAAATGAAAACAATTTTACTGCTAATGCTAACTAGATCATAATAATAATAAACACAAATAAAGCTGCAAGCAGCAATTAAGGGACCAAGCACTTCATAGGCAGAATGAGCAAAGCAGTCCAGAGTCAGAATGAGTAAAGTAGTCCAGTGGTCAAAAGCAACAAGGTTAGTAAGGAGCATCAGTCAAAGTGAAACAATACGTTTTTGAATACATTTGAAGTATGTAATAGCCGACAGACAAAATGGCTCACCCTGGAAAATCAGACATCGTCGAACTTCGCAAGTTTAGCCAGATGTAAAGAAACCATTTTTATATACAAACGGTTGAGAGAAAAGCAATTTTTGTATCTCCGGACCACTAGGGGGCAGTGCACCGGAACCCTGCAGATAACCTCATTCACATTTGGTTTGAATATGTCATTGTGTTACAGAGATATCGCCTTAAGCCCTTTTTTGCAAGCTCTACATTAGATGTATTGGTTAGTTAAATGAAAACAGTTGGTCCAATCAACTTGAATTATATTACTTTTGTTCAACATGGTCTGTAGAGCATGTGATTGAATTTTGGTGAAAATGACATCATAGGGTTCATTTGAATCGTCTTGAGCCAAAAAAATCAGAGGAAAAAAGAATTTTGATTGTAGCCCATATGGTTCAAAAGTTATATCGATAAGCATAAGTGAAACTTCGGACATATGGTGGTGCTAGAGAGTTTGAGTTAGACACTTCATGTTTGCTCTAGTTTATGTTAAGACTGCCCTCTATTTTTATTGTGATAAATTATACAACTTTTACGCATACGGTTATATGGGCTGCCATTCAAATGCGGCGGAAGAAGAAACAGAAGCAGAATGATAATAATAATAAGAGCGCTAATGAAAACAATAGGTGCCTACGCACCTGTGGTGCTTGGCCCCTAAAATGTCTAAGCAATTAAAACATTTTAAGATTTACTTTTATCTACATTAACCCATGGCTAATAAAAAAACATACTGTAACATTAAATTATAATTGATATTTGAATCTTTAAAACTAATCATTCACTTATGCCGAGACCATTTTCAAAGTAGTCGTCTTACAGATGTTTTCACACTGCATGACAATCTGTCAGTGCTGTATTTACACTGTATAATGGATCAGCAATGAGGTTTCACACTGCATGACTTTACAATATGAGAATCACCGACAACATAATCCACAAACTTCATCTCACATCCAAACACACGCGAGAAGTGACATGGAAACAACACAAGGTCACATAGTATATCTTTTGTTATTAACTACAGAATGACAAGAAAGCATTTAGTGAGGTTGAAACATACTTATTTTGCTAACCTGACTTTTAAAGGGAATAATATCTTCTCAAGTTTTTTTTTTTTGAGCTTGTTGTAGTATTGCTAATATGACGCGTCAAACAGATACGGGGTCCAAAACAGATCTTGGGTCCAAATAGACTGAAAATAAGTGTTTTTTCTCCGCCAACCTCTCACTGGTCTACAGATATTCATACTAGTGGATGCTGCTCTCTCATTGGCTGTCCGTTATCACCAATGCAGTTTTCAATCAAAACACATTTCACACAGCATGGCTTTGAATCACGACTCATCGGCGATTCTCTCAGATCGCGTCTTTGACAGTTCCCTCAGTGTGATTGTTACTTGCATGATCGAATCGGGGCTAAAATCACGCAATCTTAACTCTGCATTAGTTGATACTCCATACACACACAGACACTTGTATACATACAGTAGTTTACAGGAACACCCCATAGGTGTAATGTATTTTAAACTGTACATATTTGTTATTATCTGGCCCTAACCAAACCCTTAACTCAACCCTCACACGAAATCTGTGGTAGAATTTGAATGTCAAAGGATGTCGTTAAGCATGTCTTTTAAGCGTTTTCGATTACAGAGACACAAGAATGCTACTAGGTCATACCCATGTCATTATATAACTCTGTGTCCCTGTAAACCACATAAACCTGTACAGCATACTTTCCCATAAAACAAGACCAAACACAGAAACTGCATTCTGTTGCCCTCAAAGTTCAATTCTCACAAATTAGGATGGCACACTTATCCACCTAGCAGCTATGAATGAACACAAACACATGCTTCTTCTCAATTAGACAGCAGTACAATACAAGCATGCGTTTAACTGAATGTGGGTCTGAATGTGAAATGGTGGACTCTTTATAAAGGGCAACAGAGGGCAGGTGTTGTATTCGACACAGCAGACAAACCTTTAGCCACCTGACATGCAAGAAGCTGAGCATGTAAGAAAAGTGAGCCACATACTCCTCTCCCAGCGGAGGACTGCAGTTCAGCTCCTTCAGGCGGAGGCAGGCAAGCAGACAGAGAGACACAGAATGAGAGAGAACTGGGGGAAATCAGAGAGGTTAGAGATCCAGACACACACAGACTCACACACATTTCACACAAGCATCATCTCTGTTAGATAAACAACACTGAAAGAGTATCAGAGAAATAGCAGCTAGCTGGAGGACAGATGAATAAAGGATTAATTGGGCCTAAATTCCATAAACTCACTTGAACAAAATGTAGAACTGAATGTATGATTAAGGCAGGAAAGTGGAGGTGAATGGGGTAAAGCAAATAACTAATAGTTGTCATCATAGTTCTCCAGTCAATTGATTACATTAAGATTACAATTACTTTGTGTAAACATGCAAATAAGGCAGTTTTAAATTAAATGTATACATTTCTAGCACAAATGTCTGAACATTGGTTTGGACAATAAAGTCAAAGGGTTTTCATAACACTGCATAATAAAAAAAAAAATACTGTGATCATCTGGAAAAAAGGCCTGTAGCCAGCTTATTAAAAGGGGTGGTTCTTTTTTTCTCAAAAACTGAAACTATTTGCAGTTATTCGAAGTTTAAATATTGCATTTAGTGACATTTTAAAGGGCCATGAAACCCCCCAGATTTCACCTTTTCCAGATGCGAAAAGGCTCTTGGGTAAAATTGTTCCTTACAAATATATTTTTGTCGCATGTTAGCAAACCACTGTAATCCACACGTGAGTCCAGCTGCGCTCTCAGAGCTAGGAATTGAAAACAAAACCTTCATTGTGGCACATTTATAAATGCAACACTGACAACCCATTTCTCTAACCAATTCTTTTTCTTCCACTTGTTTTAATTTCAGTTGGCAACATAATGTAGTGTCTCTCTGCCGTCTGAACATTGTAACAGGTAAAAACAGTCTTTGAAGCTATCATGCATATTAATTAAATTGCACCTCATACGCAATAGAGCGCGCTGATTTGGTTCGAACCAAGTCAATCTCTTGAATTAATGATAGAAACTCAAAGATGTCATGTTGTACCCACCGGTATAGACATACTGTCTTCACGCTAGAGTTTACACAAAGATTCTAATCGCTGTGATGTACCGTCAACATTTCTTTTCAAACTGGAACACAAAACCCACCAATTTTTACTTTTTTAATGAAATATATGTGTCCTAATTGTGTTTTAGCAGCGTGGGACATAAATATGACTGTCAACATCTCAAAAAATGTGTTTTGGTGTTTCCTGACCCTTTAAGCACTAATTAGCTTGCCGGATGGTTATCATTACCACAGTTTTTGATGCAACAAAAATACATTTACATTTACATTTAGTCATTTAGCAGACGCTTTTATCCAAAGCGACTTACAAATGAGGACAAGGAAGCAATTTACACAACCAAGAGCAACAATGAATAAGTGCTATAAGCAAGTTTCAGGTCTGTAAAGTCTAAGAAGGGAAGTATTAGTAGTATTTTTTTTTTTTTTTTTTTTTTTTTTTGGTACAGTTAGTGTGATATTCAGAGAGGCAATTACAGATTAGGAAGTGTAGTGGAGACTAAATAGTTGAGTTTTTAATTGTTTCTTGAAAGTAGCGAGTGACTCTGCTGTTCTGATGCAGTTAGGGAGTTCATTCCACCAACTGGGCAGATTGAGCGTGAGCGTTCGCGAAAGTGATTTCTTCCCCCTTTGGGATGGAACCACGAGGCGACGTTCATTCACAGAACGCAAGTTTCTGGAGGGCACATAGATCTGCAGAAGCGAGAGCAGATAAGAAGGAGCAAGGCCAGAGGTAACTTTGTAGGCAAACATCAGAGCTTTGAATTTGATGCGAGCAGCAACTGACAGCCAGTGCAAACGGACTAGCAGCGGAGTGACATGTGCTCGTTTAGGTTCATTGAAGACCACTCGTGCTGCTGCATTCTGGAGCAGTTGAAGAGGCTTGATAGAGTTAGCTGGAAGCCCAGCTAGTAGAGAGTTACAGTAATCCAGTTTGGAGAGAACAAGAGCTTGAACAAGGAGCTGCATGTTCAGGTAAGAAGGGTCGGATCTTTCTGATGTTATAGAGTGTGAATCTGCACGATCGAGCAGTTCTAGAGATGTGGTCAGAGAAGTTTAGTTGGTCATCAATCGTTACTCCAAGGCTTTTCACCATTTTGGATGCAGTAATGGTTGCCCCGTCCATCTGGATTGAAAAGTTATGGTGTAGAGTCGAGTTGGCAGAAACTACAAGCATTTCCGTTTTTGCGAGGTTCAGCTGAAGATGATGATCTTTCATCCAGTGTGAAATATCCAACAGGCAGGCTGAGATGCGAGCTGGAACCGAGGGGTCATCAGGATGAAAAGAGAGGTATAGCTGGGTATCATCAGCATAGCAGTGGTAGGAGAATCCATGTCTCTGGATGACTGGTCCTAGAGATGATGTGTACTTCCTACATTTTTGTCAAAGTGCTTAACATACTATTTTTTGTTTACAAAAATGTTTTAATTTACAAAGGTGCATTTATTTTGTAAGTTATTACAGTTTTATATATATATATATATATATATTGTAATGGAATTAGAATTTTAGAAATTTCATAAAAATACTTATTAAATGCTAATTTATTATCACCCATCATAAATAACAATTAAAACTGTAACCTATACACAAATAACAAACTGGCCAGTAAATTTCCTCTGCCAGAATTTGCCCATTTAAATAATAAAAGCCTTCTTTTATTGGTTATTTTATTGTTTATTCTTCTTAAAGCCTCCTTCAATTGGTTATTTTCAAAATTTATGATGGTATACTGTCAAAAATGGGACAAATTAACTCAAAGGGGCCAAATTCTGGACTTTGTTAGAAGGGCGTGGGTCTCTTTAACCACCCGAACCCTGCCTGGCTACAGGCCTGATAATACAGTCATGACCAAAATTGTTGTCACCACATACTTGAAACAATCTTTTTTATCCACAGTTTTAAAAAAGGCTTGTTGTACAGCCCGTTTTTGGAGTTTTGTGTGACATTGTCAAATTAGCTCTTTGTCCTCCCTATTTTGTTTTGTTCCAATACACACAAAGGCAATAAACGTGTATAGCAAACATGTGTTAATGCAATTCTTTTCTGTGAGAAAACAATCTAAATTTCAGGGGTGCCATCAATTTTGGGCATGACTGTATGCATATTAAAATATATTTTTCTAAAGTCTGGTATATGTCATTAAAATCTACAGACCCAAATTGATAAGAGGTAATTAAGGAAACACTTAAAAGATGCTTTCTTTCCATCTAACTGTAAAGAACAAACAAAAAAGAAGACAAAAAGCCCAAAATAAGAAGAAGAAAAAAACAAAAAAACACTTTTGGCCTGCAGTGTCTGACCTTGAGCTGGAAATATTACTGTAAAGTAAAACAGCTGACTTTTGCATGTATGTGTATGCATTTGTGTGTGTGTGAAACACTTACTGCAGAGCGAGCATCAGCCACTCTAGCCTTCTTCATTCTGTTTTTAGCTGCATCCAAATCTAGACGCTTATTCTGAAGCAGTTTCCGTTCTTTCTGTGAAGACAAAAACATCAATACAACAGTTTAAAAATATAATATAATATAATATAATATAATATAATATAATATAATATAATATAATGAATTAAAATGCATGCTCACCAATATGGTTTTAAAATCTCCCTCAATGAAGTTCCTAAAAGGAGTGAGGAAGTTGATGGCAGAGCTGTGAATGAACTCTTTCTCTGCACTGCCTAACAGCTTTTCCGTCTCCCCGCATTTAATAAGAGCACTACCTGCAGCACAGCACAGGAAGAGAGCATATTAATCTCAGCCCACACATTAATCAAGAACAGTTGTCAACATTTATTGTTACAGAATAAGGTGCTTACAAAGAGTATTTAGATATTATTTATAAATTAATATATGAGTTTTTGATTCCTACAAAGAAAACTAATCTCAGGTTTCACAAAAATATTAGGCCTCAATTATGAAACATTAATGGAACTTTTTTTTGTGCCAATCAATTGTAAAGCAGATCTGATCCTCTGTCCTAAAGCTACTACATATTTTTTCAAGCGCTACCAGCTGGACATTTTCAGAAGAGAGCCCAACATTTTGAAGCTGTAAAAATCTTTAGCGGACTATTTTTTAAATTATTGAAAAGACTATTGTTAGGTATATAGCCTTTTTATCTTTCCAATTCATAAACTATACTGCAGCCAAACCTTAAATATCCGGAATATTCCAGGATGCTGGACCAGGATATTCAAATAGTCAAGTTCTTGGACATGTAATGTAGGTAGTTCTTATAGGTAAGGGTCATGCTTATTAAGAATAAGTGAGCACTCAAATTCATTAAAACACGTTTAACTATCAAAGCTGATGTAAACTGTTTTGTGAATCCAGAGAAAAGTTTTCTGAAAGGAAAAACTATATATAGGAATATTAATACTGTCACAATATGGATGAAATACTCTTCCATTGTTATTCACCATAGGATACATTTATGTAAAAAAATTGTATAATATTATGACGTGTACGTATTAAATGCTTATAAATGTGCTTATGATAAATTTCAATATGGAGAATGTGACACTGTATCACAATAAAAAAAAGAGATGTATAAATCTGTTAGAATTGTTAGAATAAGAAAATGTTTGGCTGAACTACTTTAAAATCTGGAACCCAAGGGTTCATTTTAAAAATAGAAATACTTTAAAATCACCTTTAAAGTTAGTTAAAAGAAGCTCAAACTGTTTTTTTTTTTTTTTTTATGATAGAAAATTTACAAAACGTCTACATAGAACATCATCTTTACTTAATATCCTAATGATTTTTGGCATAAAGGAAAACCAGTCATTTTGACTCAATGTATTTTTGTGTGACAAATATATTAGTGCATCGTAGGACTGACCAGTTTGGGTGCATATTTAAAATGATTAAAATCTTCTTGCTCACAAATGGGTAAAACCAAGTGGTCTGAATGATACTTTTTAAAATCATTTAAAATGACTGTGTCTTTGTATTTGGAGGCTAAACTTTTATCCTTAATCAGAGTCTTTAAATAGATAATCAAATTACTCTTCTTCTAAAATTGCCTGACAAACATCTCTGGTATATAAACTATTGTGACATTGAATGTAAAGTACTAGGACTTCTTCTGCAAATCATGGTATTTATGGACAACAAACAGTAATTTATGGTGAAAAAAAAAACTAATAAAGCTGTATTACGCATTTATTGTTTTATCTCTTTTCATCTTTGGGCTATAAACTTAAATGCATAACTGGACATAAGAACAAAAACATGATAATATTAGTTGCATAACTTTAGCATTAAAAAATCTTGCTAAAAAGCACATTGATTACCAAAACAAATATACTTTTAAAAATATTTTTTGTGCCATTTCAAAATTTGCTTTGGTCTAAAAACAATAAGCAACACTTTACAAACTACAGTTGTTGCTAGAAGGGATACAGCTTTTGCCTGACGTTAAAGAATTGTGCTTATATTATTTATTAAATTACCCCAAAATTGTATTTTGTTAATGTGTAGCCCTACCCCAACCCTAACAATGATGGAAAAAATATGAATTATTGTTGTGCAGTAGTGATGTTTGATACCACAGATTTTCTTTCCAAACTCAAAAATCCAGTCTGGTATTGATGACACTGATAAAATAACAATACTTTGTGCAAAAACACCGTATGTGTCTAATAAAAAAAGTAGTGTATTTCAAATCATAGCCTCAAAACTAAATTTTTATTTTATTTATTTTAAACTTGGAAGTATACTGAGGTAGCAGCCTCATTTATAAGATAGCTGAGCTCAGAAAACAGCAGAAAAAAACAAAAAGAAAATACAATTAAATATAAACTGGTGTCAAAAAAAGAGAGAAAATATTAGTGTTAAAACAGTAAACCAATCAGGAAATGGCAAAACATTTAAAACCATGTCTTGGCTGTTTGAGGAGCTGAACTAGCTTCACATGTGCTGTCACTCTACCATTGTTGTGACTGGACTAACTGACTGGACTGTGTGCAGGACTGGATTGACATAAAGGCTAGGTGGGGCTGAAACCCAGCGCCCACAGAAGTAGGGGGTCCTTGATTGGCTTTATTGGCATTATGCTTTTGCATGTCTAAATTTTGAAAGATTCCTTTTGGTTCACTGCTGTTCAAAAACAGTGATGCTGGTGCTAAACTGGGACTTGGAGTGGCTGTAGCCCAATCAGAATATTGAATAGTTTAGTTTTCGTCATTCATAAATGTAATCAGTTTTTCCAGGACAGTGACTTATTTCGGCACTACCGTGAGAACCATCCATTGAAAGGTGGGCTAACCAAGCTCATCGTAGAACAAAAACTAAAATACAAACAGTACTCATCATTGATTAACTTGTCTTGTACATATAGTAACAGAAGCTGGGATAGGCAGAATAATCCTGAATGGACTCACAAGTGCAGTCCCTGCCGTCAGTTACAGCTGGACTCAAAAAAAAAAAAAAAAAACCCTGCCCCAGTTGCGGAGTATGTATCAAGAAAATACACTCGGTTATGTATTACAGTAAATCTAACTGAACTGGTTAGAAAGCAAACTTTTTTAATGAAGGCTTACTTTGCCCCTTTTATGAAAACAACAGTGGCCTAATAATATGAGCAATGAAATATTGGCACTGGCTTTCATCAGATAATATATCTGATGCAAAACAAATTAAAATAAAATAACATTATAAGATAAAATAATTTTGTAAATCAAAAGATCACTTTTTTTTTATTTTAGAAGCATGGATTTTAAAGATATCCAACCATCATTGGGATTTATGGTCAGCTAAAGTTTTAAAGAGACATTTTAAAGGTAAAATCCTATTTGAAGTATTTATTTTAGAGATATAATTTAGGAAGTATTGCAAATGATTTTAGCAGCCTGTTTGAACTTGTTTTGTACTTCATATTATGTCATTACTGAATTTTGTATACTTGCAGGCCTATTTTATTAAAATAGAAAATAATATATAATAATCACATAAATCAAATAGTGGAAAATTTGTCATATTAATTATTAAATTATTAATAACAACAACAATAATTGGTATATATACTTTTGTGTATGTAGAGTATAAAGATCGGGTATTGGAGGTATTGATATTTCAGTATTGATGCAGACATCCCTATTGTACAGTGTTTCACAAATTCTGCTATATTGATGTTCGTATCCGCAGCTGTATCCCATCTAGAGTTTACCCAGAACTACTGGGCTGTTCAGTCATCATTAAAAGGTGCTTATAAAGACACGTGCCAGCTTTTGGTGACATCACAATAATTTCATTAAAGTGTTTATATCAATATCCCAAACACCAGCTCCCATAGTAAGGGTCCAGTGGGACGGGATCATGTAATGAGCTTACCATATGCTGTTCCAGGTCCAAACTCGTGGCCCGAATCAATCATGCACTGCCCCAGCATCTCGTGATTGTTGGCACGTGTTGGGACTTTTTTGTCCAGTATTTCGTAAAGGAACTCCTCCACCCGGACATCTACTCACATCAGACAAATTCGATTAAGACCAGCAAGAGTCAGATGAGACCACATGCATCCTCTTAAGGCAGGCCTAGCAAACATTACTGCTGCTTAAGAGCAAAAATATCTCACAATGCGGCTCTGGATGACTGTAAAGGAAATGCCTCAACACGAGGCATTTGGGAAAAGAAAGAAACCTCTATGCAACTAAAAAAAAAAACCTAAAATATTTTTAAGTCTTATCTGAAAAAAAAAATCTAAGATGGAAGTTTAATGATATGAGCTACATTGTTTAGACTTCCTGCAGCACTTTAACACTTTTAAAGGGACAGTTCACACAAAAATGTTTATTTACTTACTCCCAAGTGGTTCAAGTTTCTTTTGTTGAAGACAAAAGCAGATATTTTGAAAAAGCTGAAAACATGTAATCATAGTATTCGCTTTTCCTACTATGGAAGTCATTGGCTAGTATCCATCATTTTTCAAAATATCTTCTTTTGTGTTCAACATAAGAAAGTAACTCATAAACTTGAGTAAATGTAAGCTTTTTGAAGAACTATCCCTTTAAGCATTTGACATTCACAGTGTATTGAAGGTTTGATCAGTTGTTGATTTCTCTGGAATTGCTAACACCGTGTGCTAATACTTGAAAAGGAAGGCTAAAAGTATTTATCATTATGGCTGGGTCTTAATCCCATTGTAAGGAACAGATGGGGAACTTAACACGCTACTCTCACCACAAGGTTTACCGCAAATACTAACATGATTTCACCAGGTGTAATCCTGAGTTCACTTGCGCTCTGCTGAAATGCAAAATGAGTTTACAGACTTACAGAACTGCTTAACTACCTTTTTGTATCGAGCTTATTCTGTGATCGTTTTTGCGATTTGTTTTAGAACTTCCAATTCAGCTTTCTATCAAAGAAATGACAAGGAATAATAAACAGCAGAAAACGGTCAATCTACTTGCACTACAAACCAGTGTGTTCACGACTATACTTAAAAAGTAGAATAATTTAAGAAAATATCAGTTGGCAAGCAAAACGAGCTGATTTTAACTTTAAAAATTAATGGAAGTTTTGAGCCCAAAAGATTCCAATGGCTGCGATTGCACTAACATAAAGATTCAGGTCAATATCACGAATGTCTTCTTACTAGGATTTGGCTGTAGCACAACTTCTGTCTGCTTCATGATCTTCTCTGTCCAGTGTTTGGTGGATTCTGCCCGACTCAGCAGCATCTCCAGATGGGCATCCAGCTCAGTCTTCTCTGCCTGCCCGAATTTCTCCTCTGTGAACTGAGAGTTCCAACATATGATATATTTTAGCTTTATAGTGTACATCTTACTGTACAGTTCACAGATTACAACGCTGGTCTCAAAACCAAAACCTAGACCTGCTGACCTATGAGGCATTTCCCATCAACATTTAACATTTTCCACCGTCTATATTAATACTATCTTTACAAATACTATTAAAGATAAGTTTTAAAGCAAACAACTATAAGAACAGAATAATAAGTACAAATGAAAAGCAAAACAAAACAACCAAGTACTGTTTGATACACAAACAATTAGTTTAGCTATAAGTTAACATTTGCAGTAAAACTGTGACTATATATCAGGCATTGACCGGTATAAGATTCTGACAGCATGGTAACCTTGGATAAAAATATCATACAATTACTGCTCTAAAATATATTGTTTTTAAATGTCTTGGTAAAAAAAAAAAAAAAAAAAAAAAAAAAAAAACTTTTTCACACTATATATTTTATTTTGAGAAATATTTAAAATATTTAAAAACCGCAACCATGTCAGGCTAAATAATTAAAATGAATCACTGACCTCTGCTGTCTTTATTGGTTTTTAAAACACAAATTTCTTTACAATTTAAAATCCTTTCTGCTGAAGATACTGCTGATTCTAAAAAAACTTAAAGCAAAATGTAAAAAAACAAAGAAACAAAAATCTTATACTGTGGGAACGTAAAGCATATGTTTTTGCTGGTTTTGAAACCTTGACTTTTTCAAAACGTGGTATACCTTGAAAACGGGTATCGTCCCATGCCTACTATAAATGGTACTATATAAGTATGCCTACTATAATCCAACAAAAACCTATGGCTGGTTACTACCATGGTTAATTTCCATAGCTGACAAAAACACATGTGCTGGTATTTAATAATACAATATATTGTGTTAATGATAAATGTACAATATTGTTATAACATGTGGCCACTTTAAAGTAATGTGAATTATTCAGTGATTGTTTCTCTCTTTTTAAAAAAATATAAATAAATGAATAATAATAATAATAATATATATATATATATATATATAGGATGAACGTTAACGAAGTATTTGACACTTTTAGCTAACTAAGTAAGGATTCATCATCATATATAAACAATTATTGAAATAAAAAAGCAACTGGGAAAATATAAAGCCAATAGATTATATATATATATATATATATATATATATATATATATATATATATATATATATAGAGAGAGAGAGAGAGAGAGAGAGAGAGAGAGAGAGAGAGAGAGAGAGAGAGAGAGAGAGAGAACCTTTTTTTGCTAAACCAGAAAAAAATCTTTTTAGTCTTCAGAAAAGACATAATTTATCAGAGTAATATATACAGTATATACATTATTTGTGTCCATTACAATTATTATTAAGTCTTAAATGTATGGATCTTTTCCTTCTATTTTTTGTTTATAAAGATATCACAATAATACATTTTAAAAATCAGCAATTATAGTGCCATGGAAATTTGATTTGCCAAAAGATAGATCCTTACACAATTGCTGTCACCACCCACACGAATTTCAGTTATGTGACAAACGAAATGTTGGGCAATAAGATGTTAGTCTTAGTCACCATTAACTTTCATTTTAAGGGAAAATGTAACAGTCTAACAATCTACTTTTGTACTACATATGTCTGTCATACAGATTTGATTGTGACTAAACGATGACAGAACCAATGTGTGTCTGAACTTTCCCTTCAGTTACAATAACAAACCTGTTTTAAAAACAAATGATACGAGTCTAAACGCCTCACCTTGAATATTCCTTGAATATAAGTCATTTAAATACATTATTACCTGCACAGCACGACTGAGGAAAGTGCCCGCGTCCGCTGCTAGTCGTCTAACATTGAACTCCATGTCTGTGTTTATGAATACAGCAATGTTTCAAACGTTCTGATCTAAAGCCTGTTAGCAAAGCTAGACAGATTAGCCTGCCGTAGCCTCTCTCTGTCGTGCCAAAACGCTTATGAATACAGCTCGCTTTGTCGTAATAAACGTGTAGTCCATGTAAAAAACGCTACTGTGAAGATAAATATTTAAAAAATAAAGTTTTTGCTAAGGCTGTCCGATGTGGTTGTTGTGGTGGTAGCTGGCTGCTAACAGGGCAGCAGCTGTTGCCGAGTGAGAAGAGGAAGGACAAACTCAGTGCGTCTCAAACGTGTGCAGCCTACTTAACGTTACTGTAGACAGCAGTTTGATAAGGAAATATCACAGTAAAGGCAGGGGAATTCTCCTTTTTTATTTTAATAGACGACTAAAAGTGAGAGGATGAACGTTAACGAAGTATTTGACATTTTTAGCTAACTAAGTAAGGATTCATCATCATATATAAACAATTATTGAAATAAAAAAGCAACTGGGAAAATATAGATAAAGCCAATAGATTTAATATTTAAGGTCAAGATAAATAATATTTGAAGAATTATCAAGTAATAAGTATAAATATAGTTATTTGTCGCCACCTGCTGGCGTAACGTTGTATTTTTAATGTAAATGGTGAGTGGGCTTGACAGACCACCTTTAGTACAGTCATTGTTAGCAAATCACCGGTTGCTCGGAGGAAATAAATTTAATAAATACTCGCAATAGCATTATTGCAACTCACTGATGATTTGAAGTGATTCTGTCTCCCTCTTTTTTATAAGTCGCTTTGGATAAGGGTCAGCTAAATGTAAATGTAATGCCACAAGCATCATTTGAGGTGTCCCTAATTACAAAAAAGTTAGCTGTTTTGTAAGTTGTTATCAAATCAAGATGAAAGTGTTAATTCTGCATGGGTTACAGAGTAGTTAATTCTGAATTTTGCAAGAATGTCTGGTATGTAGTTTTATTGACACATTTATTAGGAGAGTACAGAGACATTACTGCCAACATGACATTTTTCACTGTCTGGAAGTGTTTTAGATCCAGTATTATTCAGCATGTGTTACAGCAGTGTGATTTCCTACAAAGTGAATGTGTTTAACTGACACCTGCAGTTCAGATCAGTGTCCTATTAAAATTGTATGGCATTATAAAAAAGAATCAGACAATGACTACTTCTGACTGTTGAGAAGCTGAAGTCTAGTATCATGTCAAGTTATAAAGATAAATTATTGTAAAACTGAAGAAAATCTGCAAAACAAAGAAACTCAAAATATTTGAGAACTCATTTAAATGGGCATTAAAGTTTAGAGAAAATATTTAGTGAGTACAAATAATTACTCTGAATACACAATGAATGATTTTTAATCATTCATTTTCTTTTCGGCTTAGTCCCTTTATTAATCTGGGGTCGCCACAGCATATGAACCGCCAACCTATCCTAACCTAACCTATATACAAAGCCCAGCATTGTTTTATGCAGTGGATGCCCTTCCAGCTGCAACCAAGTACTGGGAAACATTATACACACTCATACACTATGAACAATTCTGGCTTACCCAGTTCACCTATACCATGTTTTTGGACTTGTGGGGGAAACCGGAGCACCTGAAGGAAACCCACACGAACACGGGGAGAACATGCAAACTCCACACAGAAATGCGAACTGACCCAGCTGGGGCTCGAGCCAGCGACCTTCTTGCAGTGAGGCATCAGCACAACCCACTGCACCACCGCGCCACCCCCATTTTTAATAATTTGAATAATAGTAATTACAATGTAATGATCATGTTTATAAGTTAAATTTGGATTTCACTTTAAATGTTTAACTACAACTTCAGAATTTCATCAGTTAATTTGCGTTAAACCAGTTAAATAATTTTTTATAATTGTTATTAGTCCCGCGAATGATCAATTGTTTTTAATGTTTGACTGAAGTTTTTAAAATGGCCAATCAATCGTGCTATCAGAAAGAAGAGTTTGCTAGGTATCTGTTAAGTAGCTAAGCTTATTTTACCCTTTAATACTGTATAATAAAACAAATAAGACCAAAAAAAAAAACGTTTTCATCAAGCAGAAGTTTAATGCCAAAAGGAATTCCATTTTCCGCATGTCATGCTGTGTTTCAATAAAACAAAAGGATCAGTTTTAACCTCAAAATATTTCACATTAAAACTTTCATGAACTGTTTTATCTAAATCACAACAGTCACAGAAGACGATCTGCAGGCAATATTCATAAAAATGTGTATAATCCCATATTCTTTAGATAGCATCCACTTATTACCTGAACATAAAAACAAGCTAAATCTGTTGGAGAGCAACCACTTTTCTGGAAAGATCTAATAAAGTGTTGCATCTCAATGTCTTGCTTTTCCAGGAAGCTGGGATTCCTTCAAGTCCAACCTGAAAACATACATCACAGTATTAAAGACCTTACAAAACCTACAAAATAGGGCTGCATGATATTGAAAAAATCTGATATTGTGTTATTTTATTTTCTGCGATACATATTGCGATTTCAAAAAATAGCGTGAATAGATCTATTGGATGGTTTTCTGGGGAGTCTAACAGTATTTAGCTACAGAAATTAAACAATCACAATGCAAAAAAAAAAAGCTTTTCTTACTTTGTCTTGCTTCTACTTCAAATTAAAAAAAAAATTCTTAGAGCAAGTAAAAATATTGTTTAGTTTTCACTATCAGAAGAAATAAGTGGAAATTAAGAGTTTTTCCCTAAAACATGCAAAAATGATCTGCCAGTGGGGGAAGTGAAACAATCTTGTTTTCACTTTGACCTGTGGATATTTGGACTAGAAACAAGACCAAAATTCTAAGTAAGAAAAACTTTTTTTGCATACAATTCTGCAGCTCCTGATCAACTATAATTCAGACTCCACATTGCATATCTTTGCGATGTGTCTATTGCGGATGTGCACATAGCAATATCGAAGCTGAAACAATATATTGTGCAGCCCTACAACAAAGTCTGAATTGATCCTTGATTACTCATAAACTACTTTGCATTATGGATAGTACAATGTCAAACAGATAAGAAGGTTGTTATTTTGAATTACCTGAGCTCCGATGCAGGCGCCAATGAAGGAGCTCCTGCTACAGGTGCACCCGCCACAGCTCATAGTGTCCCGGACAGCCTGCTCATAGCTGCTGGCTGTCAGAACCCCATGCAGAGCTGCTTGGAATGCACCAGGCAAACCTGAAAGATGCGATACAGCCGTTTAAATACCCATGCCATGACTAGGCCCACATGGAATCTGTATGCAGAATTCCACAGATTTTTAGCCCATCATTGATTCTATTTATTTACTTGTTTAAGTGTGTGTAAATTTATGTCATTATTTATGTTTTAAATTAATTTTAGTAATATTACTCACTAATATGAAAATATTTATATGATTTATGTACAATACAGTTTGTAATATAATATTTTCTGTCTTTTAGTAGAGATATTATTTGAGAGACTTTAATTTTTTTAACCAATAAAGTGAATCTAATTGAATTTGCATTGTAAACATTAAATAAACGTTAAAAAGGTATTACTTTTTATTTTATTTATTAAGTTTTGTGTTATGATACTCCTAAAATCATTCCACAGATTTTTAGCAAGATTCTGCGCAGAAATATCAAAAAATTCCACAGATTCTGTCTGACCCCAGTCATGGCTAACAGTCAAACTCAAAACTGAATTTAAAGGTGCAGGAGAGTTTACTGACAGTTGAGGTGACCCTTCCTGCAGAGTTGAACTCAAACCCTAATCAAACACACTACAGCTTTCTAGTATGCCTAAAAGCCTTGATTAGCTGATTCAGATCTATTTTTTTTAATCTAGATTTATCTTTATTATCTTTATAAATCAGGCTGACTTGGCTTACAAATTGTTTAACACCAGCTACATAGTATAGAAATTGACATATTTAGACTGGTTCTCAACGCTGGTCCCGAAGTACCCCCAGACAGGGCCCAAAACCACATTACGCCACACCTGCCAATCGCCACTGAGTTGAGATCATTTACCGGCCATATAAAATATTCTGGGAAAGAAAATGTCTTTTAATCAATCATATGTCATTAATTAATAAATGAAATTAAAATTATATTAAACATAATTTAAATAATATATTTAAAAATATATTCATATAAAAATATAAAATGTTTAAAATAAATGTATATCAACACAGGACAGTAAACAATTTCATGATGATAATAATTTTTTAAAAAATATGATATTATTAATAACAATAATAAAGTTCTTATTATTAACATTATTACTATAAAACAACAGGAGCAAATGCACTATTTTTAAGCAAACCACGCAGTTTCAAGCAAATGAAAACACTGCTATTTTAATGAACTGATCATGTAAAAAGATCGCAGTGCTGTGCAACAGATTATATATCATGTTTCAGGCATAGCGAGAATCATATTATTACTTCTAACCTGGCATTTGGAGCTTGGTGAATGTAATTTTAAGCTCTGCCCCCAGCACTGCACATTTTCATCATCTGCTTCCAAAAGCTGGAAAATACTGCCTTGCTGGATCCATTGTGAGATAGGAAGGCATCCTAATCCAGCCCCACTTCCTGTCTCCTGAAAGACTTTCATCTGATTGATTTTTTTAAGACGTCATAGCTACCTTTGATATCCCACAATCCTGTGCTTTCCATTCCTGACAGTTGTGCTAAAAATAAACATGATGCCTGAAAGCTGTGCTTTGTGGCCATTTTCAGTGTACATTTTTGAGCAACTGTTTCCTTTTTATGTCAGTTCTTGCCAGAAGTTAATATTGTAGACTAGTAGTGATTAAATCTTCCCTTCGTTCATCACTAAAGCTAACCCGAAGTAACTAACCTCAGGTATTTGGAAACACAGCTGGAATGAGCTCTTTAGGTTTCTTGTTCAGATTGTCCTTCACTTGATGAATGTGTCCTAAATTAGAAAATGAAAACATAAATAATTATATTGTGTATATTGTGTGACATGTATCCAAAAATGGCACAACTAAAATGCAGGGGCAAATGATATATTCTGCCTTTTGTAATGTAGAGTATAGCTCACAATATTAGTAAAACAATTTATACCAATTACAGCTTTGTCCAGCTCCTGAGGGTTTTTTCTCTCCGGGTCACTGAGTTGTTTCAACACTGCATCCAGAGCTTTGGGATCAGGGCCATTCAGGATGAAATGCTCCAAAAACCTAAACAAAATCAGAAGAAAGTCATAAGAACTGTGACAAAAACAAAGAAATCGATTCTGCATCAATTTTGT